AGTTCAGGTCTATTATAACCATAACCAACTCTTGCCAATAAGGTTACATGATCAACTAGCCTTGCTTCCTATGCTACACTAAAAAGGGTGGATTAGGACCAGATTTCACCGTTTCAAAGTCAACTTCACCTGTGACCCTCTGACGAAGTGTAGTTTCAGGCACACTAAATAATCTTGCTGCTTTCCTAACGGGTATGCCGTTTGTCCTTTACATCTAAATAGGCATTAATTAAGGCATCATGATTATACTGCCTGTATTTTCTTTTTGCAGGATTCTGAAATAAAATAAAAAAGGAAATCTATAATATATATATACTAGTAAGACAGATTATCATTTTTTAAATGCATTTATTTTTTACTTATTTGTAAAATTTGCTAATTATTTCATGAATTTTATTCATATTTTATAATTATAATTATCAAATATTATTTCTGTTAATTCCTGTATATTCTAATATCTTTTTTTGTTGGGTGGTTAATTATTTTCCCGCTTTTATTTTATCTTAAATCTATTAAATAGGAATAACAAGGCAGAACAATCATTAAAATGTGCGAAGGCGTGCATTGATATAAGAATGCCTCCTTCGGGCTACCTTAGTAAAAAAAAATCGGCAAGGAGGCGTGGCTTAATTTTCATACGACACATCCGTGTGGATAGCAGACGACAAAACAGACTGGTTCAGGAGTGATATCGATGACTGTTTTTTGAGATATGAGCTTATATTAAGGACGCATAAAAGTGTAATAGGAAAAACGGCAATTTTATGCATATTTCTAGATAAATTATAAATTCTTACCTGGTCCAAGCGAACTTTAAACATCATTTTGGTCAAGTGTACAGACGATGATACAACAACAACAACATATCCTCGCGCATGGTCACATAGGTCACGTTGGTCACGTAATACAGATGGACAAAATGGCCACACGGAATTATATAACGCGCGGAAACTGGTGTCTAGACGAAACGAATGTTTGGGCGGATACTGATTGTTATTGTCCGCACAATCGAGCATAAGTAAGAAATTAAAAATAAGTACAAAAGAGTAAACACCAAAACAAACAAGAAACATTACAGGTGTAATAAACACAAATTTTACCAAACGACAGCATATTTGTCCATGTGGAGAACATCTTGAGCCTGGTTTGATAACTTTATGACAGATATATATAGATTTTCATGCTTTCAAACTAAAACGTTTGAGCGACTAGGTGTACTACCGGAAACTCTGCTCCTAGCAATTATAATGGTATAAAGCGTTATGAACAGACCTGGACAGAATGGCTCTGTATACGAAATGCTATGTTTTTTTACGTTCAGAAGCACTGATCAGGTAAAATAAATGCTAGCAATAACACGAGATTTTTTACGTGTATCCACTCGATAAAGTAAAACACGGGGTCACACACTGTACAATTTGGTTAGAATGAATTTTTACATTTTAATTCTGTTGGAATGGATATGATGGATATATCAAGCCGAGGTACGTACGTGGAATGAACATGAATAAGTTACGTTATCACTGGGTAATAAATTGAACTTCTAAATGAGTTGTAATCTTACAGTGCACAGAGTTTGGATGTTTAGTTGCTAAAGAAGAATATAGATAGGGAGTCATACCGTTCTTATATATACAAACAACTGGACATGCATACAGTTATAAATCGGTGTACATGTATACAGGTAGTGCATGATAGGGGGAGGGGGGATCATACATGTAAATTAAATAATAATAATAAAATAACTACGTAACACACAGATTGCTTTGTTGTACAATATATACAAATTTGCAAGCATTTGACTTTAAACTTTACAGCCATGGCGGCTACATGTACACTCTCTATGTACATATTGGTCATTTTATATTGACTTGGTTCGATTTCACCAGCACAGGTAAGCTAGGTGGGTAACACACATGGAGATTTGGGAGAATATAATTGTGGCACTTGTCATGTTAAAGCAATGTATATGATAACGACTGCTTCTGTAAAAATATATATTGTAACAACCCCTATTACCCATTTTTTTATGTGTACCATAACAATTTTACCTTCTGCACGCATGAGTGTACACTAGATGTGGCAATGTTTATATTAAATATAAACATATCTATACGTTACTTGATGTATAATATGATACACATCAACGTTTATAATCTGTATAGCACATTTATTTATGTATGCAGTCCTGAAGCTGCACATATGTATAAGAATATTGATAGGGTGTAGTACATGTAACCATACTAATATTTAAATATTGTTATACAACATTGATACAAATTTGATTGGAATGATAGCACTCCGGTCTACTATTTGGTATTTTTACAACCAGTATACCCGTGTACGAGCTTGTAGTAGATGAGGGGGAAAACACATAATAGTATGTGTAATAAACTGGATGACCAGTACAATGAGTAAATACGGACTGATTTATGTATGATACATAGTTGTTTACTTATTGATACATGTACGTAAATATATGTACACTATAGATTAGGAATACACAATTTGAAAAAAAAATCAAAAAAAAATCTTCCAATAGCAGAAGACAGGGTTCAAACACTACTCTGCAGTACGACACAGTCAGCGACTCTGCGTAAATGATGGGCCACTCTTAGTGGTGCGCACATGGGGTGCAGCTTTGGGCTTCGTAAGCTCCTGATCAATGTGTCCTGACGCCCCAGCTACAGTACGGGGACCGCGCCTGGGCCGATCGCGAGCCTCAAGATGGGGAGGGGGGTCAGGACACGCGGAAAGTTCGTCCATAGTGGTAACTTGGAACTTACTCCCCTTTAGATTCCGGATAACGATTCTACCATCGTTTGTCCATGTCTCCCCGATGAGTCCATGTTTTTTTTAAATACCGGGCTTTGGCGTATACTGCAGCGCGCTGTTTGGTCAGGGTCTCGTTGATATAGAATCGGCTGTTGGCATAAGGGACTATATGATCAGGGTCGGATGAGGTGGAAGTCCGACGCGATGGAAACAGACTAAATCTGGCATCATATACGAGGGCCCTTGTGCGATAAGAAATGAATCTTACTATTATATCACGTGGATATGTAGATGCGAACGACTAATGTCATTAAGTGTCAACATGATACCCATGGTATCATTACATGCGGATAACACAAGCTCATCGGTATTCGGGTGTCCCCCTGAGTTTTAGGCTGTTCCTTCTCGAGTACTGTTTTAAATCATCCAACTTGTTCTCAAGGAACTTGAAACGTTGCTGTATTGGGTTGATACCTATGGAAGATACTAGTGTGTCCTTGAATAGTGAGTTACTCAGTAACTTGGCGACAACTTCCTGAATGACCACAGGATCGGTAATGTCATGTATAGTTTGGACACTTTTCTAAATATCACCGGACAATTTTACAGTATCCTCAGACATGATATATGAGTTATATATCAACACGGTACACGTAAGCACACTTCGGAGAGGAAATGTCCTTCAAATTCACAGACAGTCCAAGTGGGAAAAAAATATGGCGGGTGGTCACGTAGTGGTTAAGAGTGGTCTCTTTAAATTTTTAAGGAGAATTTTCACATGTTCAGGTAGAATAAACACACGTCATCGTACACTGTTCAGATATCTGATCTTATCGGAACATATCATACTTTTTTAGATGGTCATGATGGGTTTGGACACATATATCTGTCAAAAAACTTCTCAGCTCATTGTTCCAACTCGGTAGCTCGACCGGGACCGGAAGCAGAAACGTCATTACAACACTTATGTGTTGGATTGTGATCTGCTTGACGTCCTCGCAACAGATTAAGTCATATCAGGAATGTTAAACTGTAGGGAAGTGAGAAATAAAAGAGAGATTTAGATCAAAGTGTTGCGATGGGGACAGCAATGGGAATCACTGCTGGTATATGCCGTGCATCCGTAGCAAAACATAAAGCCGATAACCTTTTCATGGGTCGACATATGTCGATAGCATGCGTTGGAATAAGCATAGCTGTTTATTTCTCAAACCTGTTCGGCTGACGTAATCCAAAAACACATTTACAAAGGAGTTTAGATATGTCTTATAATATTGTTAACAAATACAAATCGTTTAAAATGATTCTTAATGTTATAAATGAAATGCATTTTTTCTGTTTTCTTCTGTGATTTAATCTTTTGACAAACGTAAGTAAAGCCAAGCTCCTTATAAAGGTTTCATGTTTTATGACATCATAACCCCATCCGTAGTCAGGAGTTTTAAATTCTGTCCTTACTTTCGAACACGATTACCACAAATAAATTGAGACATACCACGCTGTAAATACTAAGAGGCGATTATTGTGGGAAGCCCCCTGCATAATTAGGGATTTGCTTTGGTGTCCTCTATTTGGGGACAAAAAGCGACCAAATAATCTGCTGCGCCCATTGCAATATTTGGGATCTTTATCGTTCTTTCTACTAATAACTATTTTTTATTTCCTAGCGCCTTGCTTAGCAACACCTCGCCTTTGGCTTGAATGTTGAACGTTCGCCCAGGTGAGGATAACAATGGGTTTTGTCACCAGGTCCCTTAAAATGGTAGTTGTTATTCCCTGCTTAACGTTCAGTATTGAGGGGAAGGCAACAACTGGTTCACCTGTTGACAATAGTATGTGACCGGACGGAATGTTGTGATTGGTGCCTTCGGCATGGCATTTCAGTGAGAAAACACAATAAAGTTGGCATCAGATCCGCGCTATCACAAGGAGGCAAGCACACCAATATGCCAAGTCTCCTGCATATACACACGCAAGCATGCACTAAACACCTCGAGGCACGTCCTTAAATGTCCTTAGCTGTTAATAGGACGTTAAACAAAATTACACAAAACTTTTGTATTATCCTATTTTCTTAAACATTATAAACACTGGCGTATACGCCTTAATTGAAAGCTGGCCTTAGTGGTATTTATAGCATCAATATATTGACAGTTGTATGTGACTTGTCGAGCCTAGGGCAAATCATAACTGACGCTCAAGATAAGGATACGACCCCGAAAACAATAAGATAACGAAATAGAAATTGGTCAGACTTGACTGCGATATAATCTTCTCGTGACATTACCAGAACTATGTACTATGTAAAGGAAATACTCATATCAGCATTGCTTATATGCTATTCTACGACCACAACAAAAGGTTTGTATTGTGTTTTTTCGTGCCATTAATGAAAATATTTTATAGTCTTAATGAAGGTTGATATGTTTTATAATGGTAATTAGAATGACTTGTTGTATTGTGGTCCCTATCCCAAGTTCTCGATGTGAGGATATGTTACTTTTTGAATTTGACTAAAATTACCATGAAGGGTATCGATAAAGCAATATATGCTTACTCTTCCGGAACTCCCGTCCTATCATCCTTGTGTGTTTCAAGGGTCTCCATGTAAATGTTTCCGTTGTACATTTGTTGCCCTAGTTAAATCGATTTACAGTTGAAATTGTGGTTTTGTTGACACTCTAGTATTATCTTGTTACGTTGTTTCTATTTCTACCTTAATCATGAAGTGATCATTTTAAGATAATATCAGTATGCCTCATCTTATATCAAGCATGCCCTGGCGGATGGATACAGGGACCAATAGCCTGCTATTTCCTAAGTAAATTTGGTGGAACATGGGCAGATGCAAACGTAAGTATACAGGTATGAACAAGTGTTTCGATGTATTGACGGTTTTGTATAGTGTATAGAGTGAAAACAAAACTTGCACACTATACTGTATACAATCACTAAACTTTGGTGTATGCGCAGATCATACAATATGATGAATTTCTGAGTATTATTGATACTGATAGTCTACTACAGAATACATCATACCGCAGAGGTGCCAACTATTATATATTTGTAAAATACCTTGATACCTACACATTTATAAATGACAGTCGCTCAAAAACAGATTGACGTCTCCCTAGATTAAGGGAACATTAGAGTTGTTATACCCCGCTGCATGCTATCGTATTATACGAGTCAAATGATAAAAAGAATCCATTTTAGACAAAAGATGCATACATAAAAATAAAAAATGAAAATTGTCAGCTCCCTTTTCACTGTATTTCTGTAGAAATCTGCGACAGCTTAGACAACTAATTGCATTATTTTCCCTCTGGGACCACTGATACAACCTACATGTACGAACGACGGAAGGTGCAGCAAATGGTTGTGTTATGTTGTTTTCTGCCTCCGGTTTACAGTTTCTTCCTTATTGTGTATGTCTAGTGGCTTTTTAACTTAATGACCGTTGTACTTAATTAGATATGGTCAATTTATATTATGTAATTCAAACATTTTGCAGAATAATAATCTTACACCAGTGAAGGTATATAACGAAGTAGTTAACTACATTTGACAACTATATCTATATTTTCACATTAGAGTGTTTGTCAGGGATTTCTTGGCAAATTAGCAGAACCAATCGAAGAAGAATCTTTTCAATTCCTCTCTGGCGCTTCGAAAAACGAAACCCGTAAGTATTGTTTGTTTTTCATTTACATATTAACATGCATATTGCCGAAATGTAATAATAAGCGATAATGCTCAGTTTACATAGTCACATAAGCCAGGCGTTCGAACATTAACTTATCCTTTAGAAGACGTAGTCTAGAAAATCTAAACGGTGTTTGATAAAACATTTGGTTAGAATATATAAAGCGAATCGGGTTCGGTTTTGTCTGAGCGAAGAGATAACCCCCTAAGCGCCTTCCTAGTCTTTGGGGATTAGCATTTCCTTGAACGAAATATCGGTCCCCTTTTGGCGGAGTGGCGGCAACAAATATGTCTTGGTAACGGAAAAAATGTTGTTTTCTTAAAGATCTTGTCTACCTGCCAACGAAAAGTCAAGATCCAATTTACATAATAGTGGACGGTCTATGAAATCCCAGGAAGAGACCATGCTCTATGGGCTCTAACTCTTATGTATGTTTTAAATTCAATGGGCTGTTCATCTTTAATTCAGTTAAGGATTCTTATTTTATTTTTATTTTGTTTAATGTCTTTTTAACAGATTAGGTCGTTTAAGGACCTGCCTGCACGTGTGTTGTGTAAGCACGTTTGCTACATATTAGGTTAAAGACCCTCTCAAGCACGGAGGAAACCTTAATTCATTACATGTAGCAAAATGTCCTTTCTGAATTCTGCATACCACTTTGATTGCATCCATTGCAAGCATGGTTTTTTTTCAAATTCGCAACATCCAGATTGTTTGTTCGGTAAATGATAAAACTCAAACAAGCAAGATCGTTGTCATTAGGCTTCAAGGATTTTTGTCTGCAGGAACTGCGCGCAAGATACGAAAGACCATGACAATAGTCGCATAGAAAAAATATAGTAATTCAGGTCTGAGTAAAAAGAAACATAATAACACAACAGCGTGATGTAACAAGTAATTAATTGAACAACAACAACGGAAAACTTTACATTGATTCTTTAGTTAACGTCTATTTATGATATTACTTTATTTTTATGATGATTAGCACACAATGGACAATTCTATCTTGGGGGAAGCGATATGTTTGTGGAGGGAATATGGGAGTGGTCTACGACTAAAACCCAAATATACAAAAACCATTGGTACCCTGGAAATCCGAGTGACTCAAACCACAACGAGGATTGCCTGGCGCTTAATGGGGGAATCCTTAACGACGTACCGTGTACATCCTCCTACTCGTTCATCTGCCAACTTGAGTAAGTTGATTGTCCTTCAGATAGAATTGAATTGCACTATTTGATACGGATTTTTGTCTTTTTTGTTCTTTGTTCTTATAGGAAGACAAATTTGGTTAACGACTCGTTTTTCAACATATCTAAAAGAATTCGAAAGATGATGAGTAACAAAACAAAAAGTCAAGGCAGACTAAACTCGGAAACTTGCTATCATTGTCAAAATGTTTGAGAGAAAAGGTTAATGAGGATGATCCTTGTTTAAACGTGATTACTCTATGTGTATTCTTGTACTAATTTGTCTAGTTTGTTTCTATTATCAGGAGAGATGAGGCGGTTGAACAAGTCATAGGATGATAACGGACCAAAAGAGATTTGTCTTCATCGTCAATAAAACTATCTTGTGCGCTTATTCGTTTTACCTTCATCAATATACAAATAAAATAGAACAAATATCAGTTTATTACTGTTAATATATTCCTTAAATATGTAGAAGAACAGTCTCATAATTTATTTATTATTTATTTTGTTATTATTGTTATTAATTTAGGGAAGTGTAATAATACATTATTGCAGTTATAATTATATAAGAATGGTCTTAGCTGCGCATTTCTTTAAACATCGTTTTCTTCAAAACAATAGTAATATTTTAAAACAAACATCACCAATGATTATTTTCTCATCTAAATTAAATCAACTACGATTTCTATAACAGACTTGTCAATGATGAAACCCGAATAACCGGAGACTTTTTTCCAATAATGAAGAAAACGATGTTTAAATAATAACCTTTAGTACTTTTTTGCACATGAGGGAAATTTCCTTCTTATCTGTAAATGATAAACCAGCATTGAATCAGAAAATCAGCTCAAAATACAATGTGGTGTAATAATCATTTAAAAGATATTAATTTTAATTCGACATAATTTAATCAATACAAGTAATTCTAAACAGAAAACACGACGATGTCCCCGTACTACCTCACTATGTTCCATGTTTGGTTAGTAGATCTTTATTATTACCTAATGGCTAGCATTTCTACCGTGATATATGGACACACAGACACAAATATGTCGCTGTAGTTGACAAATAAAACTGGAAAATATGACCAAGCATTAATTTGCAGCACTAGGATAGAATGACATCCAAAAGAACTCCACAGAAAATTGAAGGTAAACAAGTTTACTCAATAACGTATTAATAAAAAATATACCTTGTGATGATGTTAAAACCATGAAAATATTACCATAGCAACATAGGAGAATAAACAGGTTGCTCAGTGTCCCGAATCAAGTCACATATGCAGGCATTAGAGAATGAAATTTTTGGATTTATTTGTAAAAGAAATATATATTACACTGATCTTTTCTATCACAAATGGAATTTTCACTATGTGTGATTCCATAAATATAATTTATTATGCTATCAGATTCACGGTTGTAACTCGCCATGGATGGACTATTTTGGTATTTCATTAATAGTGGAAAAATTCATATATTAAAATATTTTAGTGTCTGCAAAGATTACACTCAAACTAAGCAAAGTGTAAAATCAATTAAAAATACCATCTCTTGTGTTGTATATCAGTTGCATCATGTCCTGTTTTGAGTTTACTGATTTTTAATGAACTGCAACATTCACATAGGAACTCTACAATATAATTAACATTTTCTCTACTTACATCACTTGGAGAATATAGCGACAGTATTCCAATTGTTAATTTACATTCCCAATTTCGGTAATTCTTCTTCATTATTGAAATGACCATGTAATACATGTAGCTAAGAGCTAAGAGACCAGCTGAACGCTCGAGTGAGGACCCCTCTTCAATTTTTGCATAAAGTACTAACCAAGCACGACAACGTATACAGATGTAAAGAAATTCTTTCCACGGATAACTTCAATGCAATCTAATGTTATCTTATCTGACTCTATAACAGCCATAGGGACCTATGATAAGGGGACATGTCTAGGCATTGTCGTTTATGTTACACAAGATGGCTGCTTGGATGTGTGTTCTGCTGCTACTGTTTGTGGCGATCACACCAGAAGGTAAACTTATGCCCTAATATATAATAACTTGTACGTTTCATGATCACAGTTAATACATTATTTGTATGTGGGACCTTAGATTTTGATGTTTTCGTCGCTGCCTTCCTCTGAGAAAACACCGAAGAAACGAAATTGATATTATCTCCCAATTGCAACATGAAGGATCTATTTCGTTTGGTTTCTCCTGTTTCTACGTTTTTGTGGTGTTTTCCCTTTAGACACCAGTCTAAGTATGAACTGTTGCAAGGACGACGCTACAGACAAACAAACGAAAGCAGTTGATGGATGTGAAATCTAATTTCTTTCTTAAATTAATAGTGCATGCTTTATGTGTATTGCAAAGTATGACCGTCTCCCTCCATAGGTAACGTTTACATTCACCTAATGTCGATATTATCTTTTGAAGTTGCAAAAACGTATATATTATATAGTTGAAATACTCTCTGCAGTGATACATCTCACTGCATGTGTATGTTCCAAGGCGAATAATGTTGGGGCCCAGCATAATCAGTAAATTTCTTCTGTGTTTTCTACTAAGAGGACATTTAAGAGACAAACATCGATCTTCAGCCCCCATTGAAACTCTTTGGAACTTTTTCTGTTTCCTTTCTTTTCTGTCTTCTTTCTTTTCCGTCTGCTTTTTCTACCCTGCGATGTCCTCCTAGGCATCCGTCCTCATATGGTGTGCGAGGACGTTAAAACACAAACAAACAAATAGCTTCATCAAAGAGGCGTAAAGATTAACAGAAGAATTGTAGGACAGTTTGCCAGATAGTGTATACATAAATGGGAACATTATTGGGAAGTGTTCATGTAATTGCAACTGGCGACACGTGATATGAAGAAATGTTATCAAAGTAATAATTTGACATATAGATAATGATAAAAGAGAACACTGAGGGCAAAAAGGCGAGAGTCACACAAATAAAAGATACATTGTAAAAGGCAAATTCATTTGTAAACAATTACAAGAAAAGGACTCGGTGCTGAGCTTTATCATTACACGATTTAGGAAATTAGTAATATAAAGAGTTTTCTTTTTTTATAAAACACTAGCTAGATTTAGTGTCACCCTCGGTAGACTATGATTGACCACCACTGTAAATGACATAATCGTAGACATTAAACAGGTGAAAATGTACATACACTAGATTTCTTTATAACAAATATTGTATTACATTGTAAAGCGGATAAATGGTATTAATGAATACGATAAATGTTTTAATTACTCATCTGAACACAGATATTTGTACATGCGTACTATTATTTAAGTTACATACATTATATCCCTCATTACAAAAAGAAAAGGGCGATTTTCAGGCTGTCCTCTAGGCTGGGTGCAAGGACCTAGTAGCTGCTTCTTCTTTAGTCAGTTTGGTGGAACGTGGGCGGATGCGAACGTAAGTATTTACAATAGAACACATGACTCGGTTCATTTTATTATTTGTCATTGTATCTTATACCTAATGGAATGTAATGGTTATAAGGCGCAGTCATTATTTTCACTGACTGACTACTTGGTATTGTGACTTCACTGAGTCAAGTAACCCTTTAATAAACACTTGATGCTTTTGTTTATGTGTTTCAATTTCCAACAATATTAGTACTGAACACATTATTCAGGGTTTGCTGTTTAATTCAAATATTTTCATTTAAAAACAATTTTAGACAAAACGAAATTCATTTGATTTCATTTCAACATTTTGTTTTGGCAAAGCCTGTATAATTCCTCTCCAGATGTACTCATTATACTTAATATGCATGAAGTTGTCACATTAAACTTTTTTAAATTAAAATCATGCATATAATACTAACATTTACATATTTACATTATTTAGTAAGTAAAGTATGACTAAAATAATGAATAATTATAATTACATATATATTAAATTCAGAGCTTTTGTTTTAAAAAAGATATGTTTCCTCCCCCGTTACGGTCTTTAAATTTCTTCCACAATTCTATTTTTAAGGCTATTTGTAAAGGATTCGAGACAAAACTTGCTGAACCAGCAGATGAGATTACATTCGCTTTTCTGGCTGGACATGCGGCGTCTGAACATCGTATAGTATTCCTTTGTTTCCATAGCAACTGTCATGTTTATCAATGGTATTTTGTAATTAATAGTGTAATATGTTTCATGGTCATTGACTTGTCTCTTTATTCAATATCGCGTCTTATAGCGCTGTAGTTTTTGACACATGTTAACCGGTTATGAACTGAAACAAAGACTTACTGGTGTATTTTTCGGTTGCACGTTGCCATTGGAGCATATGCATCTATGAGTTTACAGATAACTTATTACAAAGGCAGTACAAACTAGTGTTTCCCTTGGCATACCTTGTCGTGTTTAGTCACCCTAAACCTATTATGTCTCGAACGATTTCATAGTCAATGCTATATCGGTTGTAGTCTCTTAATGAGACAACTGAAATATATCAATGTACAACTAACCGGTATAACATTTGTCTCTCAGACAGTAAACACTTTGGTTTACTTGGGCATGCCTTTCATTAAGTAGTAATCTCCCTAAATATTGAGGTTTTTTTTGTAATATTTTATTTTTATCTCGCAGCTCTTCATAGTCAGTTCTATCTCGGTGGAAGTGACATGTTCGTTGAGGGCGTATGGGAATGGTCATCAACGAAAACACAAGTAAACCCAAACCACTGGGAACCTGGAAACCCTAGTGACGATAATAACAACGGAGACTGTTTGACCCTCAATGCTCCACTTAAGGAACTCAACGATGTTCAGTGTACGGCTATATTTGCGTTCATTTGCGAAGCAGAGTAAGTGACATTTTATGAACATTAACATTATTCAATTATTATGCTGTGAAGGGTAGAGAATGTAAGCAAACGTAGGTCCGCTAACTTAATAGTTGATAAAGGCATGGCATTTAAAAGACATTAAGGCAGTTAAACTTATTAACAACTTGAAGATAAAATTGATATCGTTTTCATACCAGATTATTGTTCGCAGTACTTAATGGAAAATTTTATTCGTGTTATATCGTCTAATTTTAGTCAACATCTCGAAAATATAATATTTAACTTTTTAATTAGGTCAGGTGAACCGGAACAAGTTGTAATTGGATGAAGACGGACATTATTTAACAGGAAATTAGTCTTCCTATCTGGTTTGTTGATGTTAACAAAAGCAAGACTAATAAAAGTGTATATTAACTTTAGTTTGTACCGTCGTCATTGCAAACACATTTCACCTGTGATTGTACCTCCATTGAAATAATTATATTTATTACTCTGATCCTTACTTCAAAATCTACCTAAATGACAATCTCCTGTGTTTGGCTCATGTGTATCTGTGAGCCTTCTCTGGTGTTTGCACACTTTGATATTTGTGATAACTGAAAGCAACTAAACACTGCTCTCCCAAGCATAGGTGTACTCCGCAGACTTGATGAGAAGGTATCTATGTGAAGGAGGATATGTAGGAATGACTATGTGAATTACTCGTTCTTTTTTAAATAGTCAGATACAAGAAAACGAGTTTTTTTCTATTTTCTTCAGAAAGAAATGTTTATAAGATACAATTTCAACTTTCTCTATAGGAATATCCATCTAATTTCTAATTTTGTTTGCACTTCAATGAAATTGTTAAATTATCTCACATCTGAATTTGATAAAGGGACTAATGTTGACTCAGAGACACTCAGTTTAAGGACACCTCTACTGTATCTGTTGTACTCTCCGTTGTTTTTTGATGACATAAGAGCATTATCAAATGAGAAAATCGCGAGTTTTTCCGGGGTTTTTTTTCACTATGAGATCCGAATGAAAGCTGCCAGTAATTAATACTAGCTTCCTGTTAGCGTACACTACGGACTCGTCGTAAAGCCTTTACAATAGTTGGATACATGTTTGCACCCATACCGCATACGTAAATAAAGACAGTATGTAGTAGAAAGTATGTAAACATGGTAAGCTATAAACTTGTGAGGCAAAACGTTAGCTATTTCATGGACTAAATTTGTACTTCTGTTAAGAACCATAAAGCTTATCAAAGGAAACAAAACAAGATTGATTTTGATATATAATGACACATTTTTATTTCATCTTTTAAAAACAATAATAAACATGCTTAATTTGTTTTTAAAAATCAACCAATTCTTTGTTTTATCAATTTGTCAGAAAATACAATAATTAATAATAATAAAAAATTAAAATCTTCTAAAATTTTCAACATTGAGGCCATGGATTGACTTTTGAAAACAAAATTGTCTACGATGAATTAACCAGAATTTGTATAATTTAGCAATAAGTGATTACTAAACAACAGAGTGTTTTGGTTACATGCATATAAAAAAATGGCTGAATTAAAAAAAATCAAACATTTGTTGTTGCATTAATTTATCAGAAAATAACGAATGGTTGCAAAGAAACTATGCATTTTAATTTTCTATAATTTTCAACTTTGATACCTTGGATTGACGTTTAAAGCATAAAATATTTATATTTCCTACGTTTAAAATGGTTTATTAAACATAAGTAATAAGTTATGTATAACATTCCCAACATTATAAACCCTCATCGCTTATAGCGTAATTATATCCATATTATATTATTATCATGGCACAAAATACAATAATTATCGTTTTTACATTAAAATGTTATTTTCGTGCTTACAAGCCATTAAGGCCCAACTGCGGATTTTAGTCGTATATCGGTTGAATATATTTTGTATAGTTAATCGTGGACTCTGATAAATACATGCACAGTTGGTGATCAAATAAATATCGTGACTGACAATGCTTACAAGCATACAACAGATATCGCCTGCTTCGGAGCGGCCATGCAGATCTAGTGAATCAAGAAAGAGAACTTATATACTCAGAAAACTGTCCCTTCGGTTAAAAACTCTGCTTTCAGTTGTAAATCAGAATAAAGCCTTTTCATAATAATCGCAAACTACTACGTAATATGCTTCAAGTTAGTAAATATAATTACAAATGTTCTTTTATGATTTTATGTTTTTTTGACAATTAATTCTACATAATTTATCTATATAAGAATCGTTTATTTATGTTATTGAAAATACAATTTTATTCATTATTCAATTTTCCCGTTTTATGCAATCAAAAACTTTAAACATGAATTTCAAGAGTGTGGCCTCATTTGTATACTTTGGTGTGTTTGCCAAACAACAACAGTGTCAGTCGAGGTTATTTTTTTATTATTAAACTAAGTTTCTTAATAAGAATTAGGCAACGATTTTAAAAACGATTTTTATTTTTGTTTTATTTTGGTATTTTGGTATTTAGGATGTGCATTCCTGTTAAAATAAAGTCTTAACAGTCACGCCATTCCGGAATTTAGGTAATACAGCTTTACAAAATGTGTCTCCCTGACAATTAACAATTCGAAAGAAACACCGGATATCAAAAAAAAATATGTATACCATTAGTCACTGATGTAACAGTAGATTAAGGAACAGCGGATGAAAACATTTTAAGAACATCTTTCAGAAGTTGTTATTCATTTATGATAAGATATGTTAAATGCATGATATCTACAATGAAAACAAATGTTATCCCATGTGCTTTATACCTGCAGATGTTGTTTGGTTATTTATACAATCCTGCATACAAATGCTTTGATCAGTTCTTTTATATAAAACGATGTTTCAGTTAAAGATGCTAAGAATTTAAAAACAATTTCTTCAATGGTAAATTTAGTCTGATAACATTTCATGTAATATATCTAACCAAGATGTAAATTGAAAACCCACAAATAATTAGCATATGGTCTTATGTTATCAAAATTGTATTACAGACTTTTTCTTACGTGTTTTAATCCCCAAACCTAGTTTAGCATGATTTGTTATGTATATTAAATCACGTTTTTACCAAATTAAGCACACAGGAAAACATTATGTTCATTTAAATTCAAAGACCATATTATTTATATTTTTTTCTTTCTGTTAAAATATGAAGCTTACTTTATGAAAAATTCCCTCTGTGTATAAAAAGTTAATAATAATGGCAAATGTATAGGTTTTTTTTATCATTTCTATGTATGTTACTGCGACCATTTCAACTTCTTCACCGAACAATTATTAGCAAAAGCAATATGCATTGCTAAAATATCTCTGAGATTGTGAAATTTGCGAAACTCTGGTGAAAGTAAGCTGATTGTCGTTTTAGCCTGCGATTCAAAATGTCCTATTTCCATTTGCCATGCCCAGTGTAAAAGGATGGCGTACTCCTACCACTTTTGTCTGAAAGAACAACAGGCTCCGTCTGGTACCCTGCATTGGAAACACCAAGCACAACAGGTTCCCTTGTATTGGAGCCAGAATGATGAAGGGACGTTGGCGTGCCTGAACTAGACAGTGGTTCAGTGTAGATTCCACGAGTGTTCATCATTGGAGACCGCTGAACATAGATTGTAGGGGTACTACTTCTCGAGGAGGGGCCCCCGTTCCTCTCCGATGGCACATATCTAGTAGTTGGTCCAGTGATATACGCGTATTTCTCCTCCTTTAGATGGCCCAATTTGTCGGTGTAGATGGTATCAACATTCTGGCGGTAAGGATGTGATATCCTGCGTCCTACAACATAAAGAAAAGAAAAACAATGTACAGACAAGTAAGAGGGAATAGTCTTACACATTGTCCAGTCTGCGGAATCTAATTCATACTTGCTCTTCTTTGCTACACTATTTAAATACGAGCTGTATCTCTAATAAAATGTCTAGAATCTACTAAATCTTACATATGTGGCGGTTGAAGAGTACTTATATAAATCTCAAACACAATATTAAATACTTCGAGGTTTTAGGTGAGTACTGTTTCTGTCCAAAGTGTTGAAAGACCTTGCTAATAAGTTATATTTATTTGTTACAAAAAAAATTTGTGATACAAATGGTCGCCTTTTCGACATTAAGTAAAACAATTGTTACGTTTTAAAAAACAAATTTATGTGATTATGTTTAATTAAACGAAAGCTATGTTTCTTCTTCAAAGTTACTTGTTGTATCTAGCTGCAAGATAAGTTTTATGAATGATTTTGTTTAATTTTGTTAACTTTGATGATAAAGTTTAACATATAAAAAGGTTAATTATTTGAGAACAGATAGTTTTGTAATTAATGTAGACAGAACACGTAAGAAATCAGTGAGTTGGAGCAAGGATATCCTGTTAACCCTGACAGGGACTGGGAGAAACCACCAGAAAGGCTTTGTTTGTTTTCGTTTAAAGTTAAACGTTCGTTTTATTAGCAGTGAGGTGTCTTTAGAAATAGAAGTTTACTATTGAGAGAGAACAGCAGATCATTGAAAGTAACTATTGTGACCAGTGGCCTACTGGAAATTGTTATAATACCACTTGTGTTGTATCCAGACGTGTTTGTTCAACGACAGTGTATTTTATAATAGTATTTATGTTGATACACTGTATTTATATATATATGTAACATTATGTATGTTGAGATCCCATATTTATGTAAAAGTAATTATGAAGAAATTTCATACTTATTTCATAGTAGATATGTAGATATCTTAAATGTTTGTTAGGGTTATTAAGCTTGAGATCCAATATATATTGTAGAAATTGATTTAAAATGGCGTTCTAAATTGAGATATCAGCCTGACTCATCTTTTTGAATACCAAATAAATATTGATTTTACAGTAATTACTTCCTCTTTTTTGTGTTACAGTATGCATGTTCACAACCCAATATATGCGTGAGTGTATTGAGTTGATATAGCGAGAACTTACATTATTTATTTCATTTGTTTATGGTCCTCATTTTACATAAAAATGATACTTGAGTACAAACCATTAATACGATCGCATAATTGATCAACATTATCTTAATATAATAAAAGAATGATAGAGAAGTTTCTTCTACTGTGTCAACAATGTAAATCTAGCCGATATCCAGGTGATGTCAAGCAATCAAAACGTGAACCGAGGCAACGGCAACAGCACAACATAGCACACATTGTATTACACAAGCAAGCACAATGTTTCCTAACAATGGCATAATTACTACTTTAATATATTAAAACTTTCTTAACCTCTTTATCACCCTACATATTTCGAAACAATGTACTTAATTCTGTTCGACATCAGTTGTTGTGTTTGTGATTCTCTATTTATTTTAGGTGTTTGAAACATGAAGTTTTTTCAGGAATTATGAACCTTCCCCTTGTACAATGAGCAGGCTTTATATTTTATGTTTAGTTCTGATTGAGTGCTTATAAAAGATAGTATGTGAAATATTTTCTTAAATAGACCGATCTTTGTTTATAATCTTTAATCTTCTACATTAATGGTCAGAGAAGTCAAAATTGAAAAATAACTTTAGTTAATTACTTCAACTTTCTCATCGGACAAGGTAGAAGCATTTAGTTTTGCACATATGTCAACAAAATTGTAATATACTCCTGGTGTGTGTGACAAAAAATAATTGCACATATCGTATAAAGCATTATCAGATACGCATTGGAAATTAAACCAACATGAAAACCAACCTTTTATATCTTAGAACAAAGATCGTCGCCTGATCTTACTTAGGAACTTACCATTCCTGTAGCTTCGCGCCTTATTGCATTTAAAGACAATCACTACAATGGCCGCAATCGGAATCGCAAGTACAGCTACAATTATGACGATCAATATCGAGGTCGACATTCCTTCTGATGAAGGCATTGTTTCAGCGGTCGTCGCCGCCGATGATGAAGTCGGGATAGATGGCGATGTCGTGGATGTTGAGGTTGGCGTAGCCGTGGAAGTCGACGTTAATGTAGACATTGAAGGTGATGCTGATGTCGATGTTGACGTGGAAGTTGACGTTGATGTCGATGTTGACGTGGAAGGTGACGTTGTTGACGTGGAAGGTGACGTTGATGTCGACGTAAATGTTGACTTTGACGTCGACGTAGTTGCTGACGTTGATGTCGACGTCGAACTTGACGTCGACGTAGATGTTGACGTTGACGTCGATGTAGTTGCTGACGTTGAAGTCGACGTACTGGCTGTTGTCGGTAGCTAGAAAATAACGGAAAACGGTCATGACCTGATGGTGGTCTTGTACAAAAAAATCTTATATATTATTAAGGTTTCTCATTGAAAAAATGTGTGATGATAATTGATATCAATAACCATAAATTTATTTGAAAAATATTCTTTTTAATAAATTGTTTTTAATCAAACGTGTAGTCAAAAAATAAACATTAAGTATCGTTAACTATCGACAATTTAGTATGAAAATATAACAGTATTAACTACAAATATAATTCTTGAATAGAAAATAGTTAAAATATTGGAGTAAACATGCATGAAAGTTGATCTTATATACTCCGGTATACATGTTCTATAAAATTCATAGCTACTATACGTACCTGTTGTATTACATAACTATCATAAATTGTCAATGGAGAGTGACTTTACTCACGTCGATAAGTGCGCTACAGTTACTTCCATTGAACGTGGGATTTCCTGACAGTGGTACAGATACTCCATTAAACACTATGCTGGTGGTGTTTGTACACGCTCCCTGTATCATTGAGTCAACGGCGGAGGGATTTCCAGACACAGTAAAAGTGACAATGATGCTCCCTTCAAACATATATAACCAAACTTTAATTTAATTGCATACATGATCATACATTAACAAAACAATAACGTCTGTTTTACGGGGTTTTCACTACAGAAGTCCAGTTAAAATTCTGGTAGTTCTACAAATAACTCAATCAGGTAGATACATAACTTGATAAGTCAAAAAGTGAAATAATTATTGTATATACAATTGTATAGTCAAACCGTTGTATGCTGCATAATGTTATAGAACATTATATAATATCTCTAGTTATTTTCTCATGTCTTTATCTTGTTTTAAATGTTAATCTTATTCACCACAAAATGAGAACCAAAGCAGTTATTTCCGGGAGTACCAGACAATACTTACCTCTCGTTACACTGACGAGATCAACGCGTGTTTCAGGATTTTCTTTTGCAAATGTGTTGGTCACAGCAGTTCCGAAGTGCAGAGCGGTCACGTCGTCTTTTATGACGTCATCATAGGCTGCGTTGAATGTTGTTTCAACGAGTTTGCTTGTAGAGTTTTCCGCTGTCATCGATGAGTTGACAGCGATAGATACTTCCTCATAAAAATCATACTCGACAGGAGAGGATACTACGTGGAACTTTAGAAAATACAGTCCGTAGCTGGTGAAGGTGAGGTCGTCAAATACAGCCCTACTATTTACACTATCAAATAACACTTGTTTAGTTCCTTCCATGGAGCCGAGAGGAACAGCCTTCGTGTTAAGTCCAACGGTTACTGTCCAATTATGACCCTTCAAATTAAAAAATATAGTAATCAAATGATATCTTTAGTGTTTCTTATTTTATAAACCTTATCTTACAGTTACGAAATATCCAAAATCATTGCCTATGTTATATGACAAAAATGTAACAGGCATTTTTTATCATTATGTCCATGTCTTGGAGGACAATGAAGTAAACATGCATAATAATACGTAAATAAATATGCATACAACTGGTGATCGCACTTAACCCGAGACTTGTATTTGTCTATGAACATATATATAATTAGAAAGAGAAATAGACTAGTGTATAGACTACTTTCATGCATCGAAGCAAACGTCACGTGTCAGATGTATTTATCAATAGTTGCTTACCCTCCAAGATGCATCCGAGATCCGTGTGTTAGTGGAGTTATCATAGAGCTCGATATCTATTGCTACGGTGCTATTTTCGACGATGGTGGTTGATAGAATGGTTACCACTGGTTTGATCATACGGGGTTGAATGGTAAGCGGCTGTGAAGAGATATGAAGTCTACGGCCAGAAGTAGGCGTAGTTAGATTGAAGTCAATTGCAAACATTGTGCCGGATTCAGAAATGACAAGGTCAGTGAAATTTGCCCAGCCATCAACAAATACGACAGTTGTTGTTCCCTGTAGCTGGGCGTTTGGATTGTATGAGAGACCCTGTGCTGGCACCGATTGGGTTGTATCCTCTCGTAGATAGGCCGTCACGCTCCATTTCTCACCATCTGTTCCCAGTTGTGTAACAGACATACCCTAAAATGAATATACGCATCATTCAACATGTGAATCACAATTTATCAACAATTGTATGACGTCATAGCAACAATACCATGACGTCACGGCAACAATACAATGACGTCAAGTCGACAATTCAGTCGCATAACATCAATATTATCTTGCATTGATGTAACGTCTATATAAAATACATAAGAGGGTAAACAGGGTAAGAGAAAAATAATCATTCACCCCCTTGGGAGTGAAACAGGTTGATCTCAACCCTCGGGATAAGATTCTTAAGCTGTCAAATACTCGACAAGCTTCGTGTTTGACAACTTAAGAATCTTTCCCCTCGGGTTGAGAGTACCCCGTCTCACCCTCAAGGGGGTGAAAGATTATATTAGGTTTATCCCGGACAGATGACCCACATTTTACACCTTCGAGATATTTCCTATCCCCATTCCTTCACGTGTTAGATTCTACCAATCAACAGTCGCATGGCATAATAATAATAATTGGAGGTTCTTATATACTGCTTTATCACAACCTAGTTCCTAGGTCGTCTCAAAGCGGTTCACAAATCATCATCCGTGGTTATAGGGCCTTTGCAACCAGACAATACATTTCTCAACTCCATGTGGAGCATACAGCCGGAGCTGCCATTTCGGCGCTAACAGCTAGCATTCAAAAATTCTAGCACTGCCCAACCACATACTTATTTACAGCTAAGTAGATTTGAAAAACCGGAGTAAAGTATCTTGCTAAAAGATACAACACATTGCCGTGCCGTGGCGCGAACCCCCAGCCCTTCGGTCACGATCCCGGCGTCCTACCACTGAACTACCGTACCCCCTTCATAAATCTACCACTTTGAAATGTCCTTGCAACAACCAACCTAAATGTTTGGTAAGCAACCTGTTGTTATACCCCATGCATGCAAAAAACATACAATATATATGAATAGCATATATCTCCTAATACACAAACATAAATGCGTGGGGTATGTGTTGAATGTCGTTGTTTTTTATTTGTAAATAATGGGCTAGAATTTTGATATTTTCAATTAACAACACCTTTACCTTAATCACAATAGGTCCACTGAATAGACATAATGTACATATAAAACAAGAATTATGTTTGCGTCCAACCAACATTTAATTGACTAATACAAATGGTGTATAAGATAGCTTACCAGTTCATCTAACACCTGTATCTTCGGCTGTGTGTTGAGTATGTGCGTTTCGTAGTTTTGTTCCGGCTGAGTGTGTATAGAGAAGGCATCAACTTTCACAAGTGATGTCAATTTTTCCGAGTCGTCAGAGTAGTTCGCCTGGACTGACCACTCCTCAGTACCAGGCTCAGGTAGAGGAGCGCTTACCACAACGTTGGAAACTGTCGTGTTTAAAACCGCATTGATGTCTCCCAACTGTACTTCATCCGCAAACTTCTTTGTCATGTTTTTCGTTTGTTCAAAAGTCAATGTCGCATTATTGTCCCCATAAGACAACGTCCCATTGTTTTCCTCGACAGCTGAAATGGAAAAATTACGGTTAAAAATAAGTACATCAATTTACAAAGCGAACTGACAAAGAAGGAAAATGCGTCAGAATTGAAAGAGAAAGGAGGAAGAACACGGAAACAGGAGATTGGGAATATATGGTTTATAGGAATGTGTTTTTCAGAATAACGAGTACTAAAACAATGTTTATACATAGAGAAAATATCAACAGCCAGAAACAAAGATTAAAAGTAAAACATTATTGGGGGAAATCAATGATGACCGAGAATATAGCGAAATTCCCCGCGATAAATTCAAGTAGAGAGTACATATTGTCATTGGTATACCTGCATGTATTTGTCTGCCATGGTTGTTATTTATCTATAAAATATATCCAAAATATTTATAATATTAATACGTACGTGAAGAAATAGTCACTTTTCATAAAAAAAATATTACACGATAGCTTATTAAACATTACTTACTTTCTGAAGGAGGTTCCGATATCTCGAATTCTACTTTAGCTGTAGATTGACGCCTTTTTCGTCTGGTGTCCTCCCGAATAACATTCATCACTCGGATTTTATTTGGTGGAATAGCAAAGAATAGAGCCAGGTTCCAGACCAAGTTCTCACCAAAGAAGGACTCCTCTTCGTTTAAAGCAGGAACATCAAAAGCTATGATAATGGCGGGCTTTGTGATGATGACAACGGGAGTGTTTCCTCTGACAAGTACATACAAGATGCTTTTATCCCTATCAAAGTAGTTTGTTCCTGATGTAGCATTTGACGTTGCATTCGGAACAAACTCACCTTGAGTTGTCGGTTGTTTAATTGTATAACTTCCTCCATCTAATTCTGCATTCGTCGCTAACACCAGGTTTTTACCAAGATAGACGTCCCGTCGGTACGATTTTGCGTACCAGATGCCAATGACTACTGCCTGGCTAGAGTCAGAGTTCAGTAAAAACAGACGTAGTGACTGAGGACTGGTGCTACTAAAGTGCACTTGATAGGATTTACCTGAAAAAAGTTGTGGTAGTAATCATTGTCAAACTAAATAAAAAATACAACTGTACAAAGTATTTCCTAATATCGAAAAGTGTCGGCGATTGCAATGACTTTTTTATTGTATTTTTGAGTGGATTTTTTAATGGAATACATATCCTGTTGCAACAGTCTTCAGGGTCAAATTGTTCCTATTTTTATCAAAAACAAGTCATCCCAAAAAAACTGTATTTGAGTAGATGTGTCTTTAAAGTGTAATAATCTAGCCTTCATAGCCTGATAGGAAAAGGACTCTTATTTTTCACAAACTTACAGGGCTGCTGTAAAGGGTGAGCCTGGAACAAGACATTTTATAACCAAAATATCATTATATACTAGCTTACCATCAGCAAAGTATGCTTAACAAGCAAGAATGTTCAAACATACCTGTAGCAACAATTGCCATAAATGTGGAGATACGCTTGCGACAGGTGTAACCGCTACACCAGCCATGATCTTGGGGTCCGTTGATAAGGTCAAGGTATCCATCTCCTAGGATGGCGACGGGTGACAGGCGTCGAAATTCCGAGTCGGCGTCCATGCTTTCTATAATAAGCATCTCATAGTCCAAATCATGGCACTCGTACGCCTGCCACATATCGCGGTATTGACACTGTGAGTTCCGAATGATCCCTTAAAGACAAGACGCAACTTTAATATATGATATACTAAGAATCTGAACATGTCTTATTTATAATTATTATTTTGCTTCACTCTAGACCAACGGCTCAACACATGTAACTAAGGTGAATATGTGCAAATACCACACCCTCTATAAAAAAATGACCAGGTATACACTTTCTGTTAGTAGAAAACATTAAACTGACAATCCTACCCAACCATAACACATACAAACTTCCAACACTCCACCAAAACTCCGAAAAAGAGATGGAAGCAAAACTTTGTTTTCCACGAAAATACGCGTTTTATGGGGTTTTCCGATCAAATCTAGGGGGAAAAAAAGGTTGTTAACTAAGCAATCAGGGAGCAATACAAATTATACTAGTAATTAATTATTCCACACATCTTATAGGCGGAAACTAAGTTAAGATGCGGAACGTGACTATTTGCAACGTCCATAAAAGTTCTCTGATAGATTTTATCTGTTTCAATCAAGTATGTCCTGATAACTAGAACGTGCTCTAGATTAGTGAGACGACAGAAACATCAGTATGGGGCGTTTGTCTTCTGGTATGCGTCCTCTAGCAGTTAATGAGACGACAGAGACATCAGTATTGGGCGTTTGTCTTCTGGTATGCGTCCTCAGGCGGTTAATGAGACGACAGAGACATCAGTATGGGGCGTCCTCTAGCTGTTAATGAGACGACAGAGACATCAGTATTAGGCGTTTGTCTTCTGGTATGCGTCCTCAGGCGGTTAATGAGACGACAGAGACATCAGTATGGGGCGTTTGTCTTCTGGTATGCGTCCTCTGGCGGTTAATCAGGCGACAGAGACATCGGTATGGGGCGTTTGTCTTCTGGTATGCGTCCTCTGGCGGTTAATCAGACGACAGAGACATCAGTATTGGGCGTTTGTCTTCTGGTATGAGTCCTCTGGCGGTTAATCAGACGACATAGACATCAGTATTGGGCGTTTATCGGCTGGTATGCGTCCTCTGGCGGTTAATGAGACGACAGAGACATCAGTATTGGGCGTCCTCTGGCGGTTAATGAGACGACAGAGACATCAGTATTTGGCGTTTGTCCTCTGGTTAGCGTCCTCTGGCGGTTAATGAGACGACAGAGACATCAGTATGGGGCGTTTGTCTTCTGGTATGCGTCCTCTAGCGGTTAATGAGACGACAGAGACATCAGCATGGGGCGTCCTCTAGCGGTTAATGCAGAATTACTTGTCAATGAATACACTGATACAGTATATATATATATATATATAATCATGACACAAATATGTAGATTATGATAAAAAAAATAAAGCAACCTGAAATTCCAGGCTTTCAATTCGAGTTGACTCCTCTATACCGTACTTTTTTAATTGTTTTGTATACTGACTTAATCTTTGTGTATAATGTTACACATGTCATAGCTTTTAATGCTTTTTTTAGGTGTCGAACCTGGGACTTCCGGTCTACTAGTCTGACGCTCTTCATAATGAGCAAAAGTGACATTATTTCTACTCGAGTCGGTAGGAAGCTGCTAGAATTTAGTGGATGACAGCAGTATAGGTTGGGAAATGGTCTAGAATGATCTCCAATCACATGAACGAATCGAAAGTCAATCACAATTCTGGTATTTCATTTTACTATAACGGTAAGGAAAATATTGAGCGGCGGAATCAAAACTGTCAGTCTTGTCTTCGAGTTTGGCAGTTAATAATTTGAAGAAGGAGTAACAGTAGAGACAGAATGGTCCGAACCTCAATTGTTGATGCATTTTGGTCTCTTGGATACACATGGTTGTTTCAACGAATCTGTATAAGTGGGATCATGAAACAAGACAATATGAAGACGTACCTTTATGGGGGGCTGTAACATTAACAGGAATTTGACGTCCATTTGAGTCAGTCAACAAAGACGTCGGTATCCTGTGGTCACCAAGATTTCTCTTTGTACCGGCATTCCATTCAAATTCTGACTCTGGGATGACTGCCCCTGGTTTCCCCTTTAAGAACGTTCCGTCTAAATCTTTGATGAGAAGTTTCTTCAATCCATCACAGTTCATATCCACACAATCACCATCGTTGATTTCCCTGAAAGAGTGTTTAACAATATATCTTTTTTTTTAATATTATTGAGAATCAATTTAGAATTAATTTAGTTTGTACTTTTTGTTCATTTCGTTCAGGTATTTTTGGATGATCATGTTGCCCTTTGAACGGTACATACAGTCATACTCGCTTGTTGTGTGGTGAAATATTTATATATTGCGTTCATTCGAGGGGAGATGAGAATTAAAAAGCCATTAGTGGAAACTCTACTAGCTAAAGATTCTGAATGAAGAACATTTTTCGATGTATAATGCTTACTTTAAAGATATAGCTCCAAATCGGTGAAATGTGTGTTATGCAATCATCTTTTGGGATTTTTTTTCGGTGTAACTGCTTAGTTATGTGTGTAGACCTTGATACATTAAAATTCTGCCTTAAGTGTCCATTCAGCCTTCCAGGTTCGGAACACTTACCCAAGGTTTGGTCTAGGTATCCTGACCAGGTTGCAATCATTTCGTGTAGTATTTTGTATCTCGATTGGATGTTGTCCATCGCCATTGTTTGGGTCACCTGACACGACAACATCGTCTCTTCCACAGGTTGTGTTAAAATTCCAAAATATCATATCTGAAAATAATCAAATACATGAATTTCAAATAGAACATAAATAAAAATGTGTCAATTTTTTTTTTAGGAAATATGTTAATCCCGACATTGGAATGTTTTTTTCCCGGTGTTTTAATGCAGACTGCAGTACTGGTTTTAATACTGTCAACTTGTTTGGTACAGTTCTAAACGAGTACTGTTTAACATACATAAAGCTATTGATATCATACATATAGATTTTCACGAAATGAAAAAATAAATATCTACATATTTGTCTCTAAGTTGTGCTTAAAATAACCAGTAGAAACACAAGGAAAGGAAACACTTGCTTAAAAGATAGTAATTCGGAGCAAAAAGTAAAACAAAGAAATATCTGCTGCAATAATGAAGGGTTCGAGTCACGGCACGGCAAGGCACTGTATTGTATCTTTGAGCAAGATACTTTACTCCGTTTTTTCAAATCTACTCAGCTGTCAATTTTATCAGCAATGACCTCTGACTTCGGAGTTAGACCACACGCTCATTTAAACAACATGTGACGTAGACTAACCCCTAGACAGATGAAGCAGGACAACACATATTACAATTAAGTGCGTAAGTTGGGATAACGTAACCATTAAGTGAACTGTAGTGCCATTTTGTCTATTTGATTAGGTCGTCATCCTGATACAACAGTTATCAGTAAAACAATGACGTGTTTTACTGGAATTCGACTTCCAGATCTTTTCCTATTGTTTTCAATTGTGAGGTTGTATAAAATGGCCGGGCTACTAGTTGGTAATTATTTTGGCTAATTACTGTTTCATCTAAGTTGTATTATACCCAAACAGCTACACTTACTTTCAATTCCGTAGTATCCCATGATGGAATTGTATGCCATGATATTGTGTAGAGTCTTTGTCGGAGCTTTGTTGTCACTCGCCATAAATGCACAGGGATATGTACCGATGTGCGCCTCCTTGTTCCCGGGATCTGACCGTTCTCCCACAATCCTTATGTTATTATCTGTCTTGTATGCATCTGAAGTACAGTTGAAAGAGGCAGTTGTTCCTATCATAATACCGTTCCTTAAGTTACAAGTTTTGGGAGCGTACGCATGGGAGACAACGCTGGGGCCCACTACCTGGATATACACTCCGACTCCATTTTCTGCCGATATTAAACCCGATACATCCACCGAGTACCGGTTCTGATAATAAAGGGCGGTTAAACGGATTTTCCAAAAGAAGTAATTTGAAATTTCCACACAGTCTGATTGTGATAACACGTCAGTTGGAAAAATTATAAATCCAAACAGAGAAGTGTGTGCCACGTTCCCTGAAGGTCCGCCCATTGCTCCACACTCGATCCCCTGGACTCTGTACGCAACTCGCTCTGCTCCAGCCACGTGGTTATCTATGAGCTTCAGATTACCCGCTCTATTTCCCTCAATGGCTGCTCCAAACCTGTAGTTTCCTTCCTCAAATCGACCATCATAGACGCTTTCCGATATTATAAGTATAAACAAGTTGCGTTCAATACTGGTGTATCTTGATTCTGTTTTCAAACCTAAAAACAGAAACGTAAAATTGTAAAACTATGTAAAATATTAGCTACATTTAATATGAAGCATCGTTATGATAAAGGATCAAAGTTTTCTAACGTTTCGCCCCTATCACCGTCGGGGGCTGAAGTAAAGGACCACAATATGTTATTAAGGACAGTTTTCAAAACCTTTCTTTATCTAGGAATACAAGATTAACATTATTTCAGTTGGCCAAAATTGTATGGCTATCAATTAAGTTCTTAGTTCTTCCTTTTAGAGATCCCTTAAATGATAAACATTTACTCATTTCGTGCCCTGGCAGTCTCACATGGTTGGTAGCGGGCGGCCTACAAATGAGGTATTGGTGCAAGGAAGAGTTTCTCCATATGAAATTAAAAATTGTAATTAAGGCCCACTTAATGAAGATTTAACAAAAGTTTAACATTGTGTTTTTACAATATCATTAAGTAAACTAATAAATAGTATATTATTAACAATTGAATGGACTAAGATTGCAATGATCTTGGGACGTTGCTTCCCACTACTCACAGACATGCTGTACAATACATACGTGCCCAAGAACACGATATGCGACGTTAAAAAGTCGAGTGTGGTGCCAACCTTACACTTTAGTTGGCACACCTAAAAATACCAAATATTAAGATAAGTGACAATAATTGTTCATCTGCACGAATATGCTTACCGAACCAGACAGTATGGTGGATGATGTTGTCTGTGATATTGAGGTAATGTGTACCAAACACTCCTACTGCAGGAGACATGCCATGGTGGAACGCACACTTAACAACGTAGGACGGACTTTCTTCTGACACATCTCCAACATAAAGATACGCAACAGAAAATCGTGGATCCGAGGGGGACACGAAACCTTCCTGGCCGGTACGGAAGAACTCTACGTTATTAATCCGAGCAAATCCTGTATAACAAGATACAACTTGTAAATATTATCAACTGAGCATTATTGTTATTTTTGCAAACTTAATGTTTTACTGCCGAATTTACAATTCGTACTAACTTACTGCCTATTACGCCCGGTACTACTGCAGATTTTGCGTTATTAGGACACACGTAATAGTTAGTTTGTATTACCGCAAACTTGATAGTGATAGTATATATGTTTGTGTTTTCTATAACTGCCGATTTAATGGAGTTACAGTATATTGACGCTATTATTGCAGATATTACACTATTATTGTAGAATTGATTTCATTTAAGATATTTAAGGTTATTACTAAAATAGATTATTATATTATGTTTTTTATTTTTGTAATTTAACTTTATCCTTTGACTTAAACTTCATAATATTATTGCAAATTTGTTATAATAACTTGTTTTTGTCAAAATGAAAACTTAAAAATTTTCTGCAGACCTGATTTTATTATATTAGAAATTGAATAGTTTAACCCAAACCTTATTTTCGATGTTCTAAGTACAATATGCTTTATATTATCATTGTTTATTATTTTACTTTAGTATATTATACTTACCAATGCTACGTTTACCTAATTAATAATTGAATATAGCATATATATATAGTGATAGATAAAAGAAAAGAGAAGACTTTCTATTTTTCCAGAACATCTCTACAAATTTTCTGTTAATACATATTTCATTTTATAATTGTCGGCATCTGTTTTTGTACTGCATGTTTTATCATATGACAATAGAAGTTATTCTAATGTCTGTTATTTGTCCAGATTTTATAATATAATTACAAACGGCCTTTTACACGCGAATCTTTTACTACACTCCACATTAATCATATCTCTCCTTCCGCATAAGTAAGCATATATAAATAGATTGCTCAGAAATAGCTTGATATATTTTAGCGCTGCAATAAAAAGCTAGGTTTTGGACAAAAACATGATGACCAGCTCCTTTAGCTAGAAACGAGTCTGAGCAAAACTATCATCATTCAATCATACAATCAGGAAGAATGAGGATACTATATGATCAACATTTGTTGTGACTACATATTGTTTTTTGGTAAAATACCAAATGTTTTATTGTTGGGTAAACATAGGTAAACACATTTACCCCTCGCATTGCATGAACCAACTTGCCTGTGTAAAGGGTGTCATTCAGCACCCCTTGTCCAACTAGCACTCGTCCGCCAAATGAGTTAGGAGCCTCTTCTCCGATGATTTTTATATTTCTTGTCAATTTTCCAACCTCGGCTGCCATAGTGACGTTTCTCCCGGCAACGTTTTCAGTGTGGGCTATTGAATGACAAAACATCGAAAAACACATCATGACAACCACACCACAATTGATAAGTAATTTTCGTAGTTTTTGTTATTATATCATAAGAAAAGAGGTACAAAATTGCAATAAGAGCAATAAGAATAATACGGCAAAGCATCGGTGTAACTAATGCATGCCATTATATTTGTATGTGCTTTTCTGTAACCGCTTACAAAAATGTTTAAATGAAGTTGAAGTTGTACAATTCGGTTGGATAATTATTTTCAAATTCTCAAATATTAAGAACACAAACTACAGTGGAATAAAATGTAACCAATCTTACCAATATGTCGGTATTGAACAGTGTCATTCAGTGTTACTTTCTTCCCATCAATCGATGTAATGCGGAACGTCTCTGTCTCCCATGGGTCGTATGATGTAGGAGCAAGCACTATAACGTCCCCTGCTTTCCACTCCACTGCCTGGCAAAATGTGAGCGAGGTATCCCCGGGTGATGCTGTCAAACACAGAGTAGTCCAGGGAATCTCTTCATCTATCCCGTGCAAGTCCAGTCCACCGTATACGGCTAGGAATCAAAATTCAACGTAGTTTAATGCATATCTATTCTTGTTCAATTCCTATTATTAAAAAAAATACATTTTTGTTTATATAATGGTTTTATCATCGTGATTTGTACTGCCACCGACATAATGAAAAATAATTTTGGTTTTTAATTGGTTCTAACTTTTTTTACAACAAATATGAAACAAAATGTAGTACATTACATATACCATTCTTGTCCGCCTGGAAGGAAGCGCACATTTTGGTTTTAGGCTGAATGTTTTGAACCATTAATCGTTTAAGTTCAATTGTCACAAAGAAACCAAAAACAATTTTCCTGTGACACGCCATTTACAATGTACATTGTTTAAGTTCTAAAGTATTGAGTATATTATAAGGAGGAGATATCAACAAAGGAAATCAATGGAATTGCCTCTTTTGATATTGACTTACCAATACTTTTTCTATTGATTGGTATATTTGATCCGGGAAGTAGTTTATCAGTCTTGTCGTCAGGTAATCGCTGCCCTCTCAAAATGATGCAAGCCATTCCTAGAAAACGGTCATCGGGCCAACCAATAATAAGTCGCCCACCAATAATAATGATGTCCGTTACGGTGAAGGTGAAATTACGATAAAAGTTTCCTACTGGCCCATGATCCAATTCCAGGGCGCCATAAAGAATAAGCTTGTCAAGTGTGGGGATCAGAGTATCTGCCACCATCCAAACGCCTGTTGAATATTTAATAGAAATGCTAAATGTAAACAAAGACCAAATATACTACAGCATCAACATATATCAAATATACTGCAACTACTTTTATCATACATATATCATGTGAATACCGTGTAATAAAGCCGTCAGCTAAAATATGTTTATGTTACGTGTGTAATATCACTCCGGAAATGACGAATGATCTAATAGGAACAATCAATGTGACGTCACGTCATTGTGAACCGGATGCAATTTTTCATCGTTTCAGAGGCTGCTAAGTGCAAAATATTCGTTTCTGAGCACAATTATACAGTTTCCTTTGTATTTTATGATAGAAGAATATGTCATTCGTTTCCCTTCATATTATATTTAGGACACTCTTTTTGGATTTTTTCATATTTGCTAGCCAGGCACGCAAACATGAAAAAAGGGAAAGTTATGACAGATTCTCTATATATACCATAGCGAAACTTACAAGAACCGAAAATTACGAAGTATTAAAACACAAAGACCAAATATTGGTTGATATGATTATTCATACACAAGTGTCAAACACAAGCAATATATAACAGCGTTGAGGACGAAATATTCTATAACGTCAACAAATCACAGTGTCGACACAAGAGAACATTATGTACAATGGCAATAGCATGCAACAGCCCAACATTCCATGACCTCTATACACAAAGATAAACTGTACGACAGCCTTAAGACACAACGACAGATATGCCACAGCTGTAACAGGAAAAAGAAATAAACAACAGTTTATTCGATATACACGTGCTTAGCATACTTTGTTATCCCCTATCATATATTAAGACGTCAAACATACATATACCACAGCGAAAAACACAAGGATATAAATCAGTTGAACAAATGAAAAAATAAATTTCGTTTTAATAAGCAAAACACTCGAGAGTTTATATTGCCGATAATTAAATAACGGACTACATTTTATAACACATATGTTAATAATGAATCATTTCTGAATGATCATAAATAAAGCAGTATGACATCTTCTGTAACTAACCTTTCGTGATTGTATTCTTTTTGCTTAAAAGAGTTCCCTGCCCTATGTTGCTTTGTATGTGTATGTGAAAAGGCCATTTCGACTTACCTTTATCGATAACAACGGTATCGTTGTCAACAGGAAGTGCTCCGCCAGGCCATGATGCATTGTCAGACCAAAATGAATGCTGCTCCGGTCTTGCGGTAAGAATCCCTCCTGTGTCAACCGTGGAGGGATCCACACAATCCGGATAGTAACAGTGAATAATTTCTAGGTTGAACAAAAGTTTTTTGCGACCTTCCAAAACTGGTTTGTCCTTTTCGTTGTAGGAAACTATAAACCAATGTATACCATTATATTTATTAAAAACATTCCAAATCCGGATGACATTTACACTAACTTTCATTGTCCTTTTAATTTAAAATCAATGTTTTGACTTCATAATGGTAACGTTGGCAACTACTGGTACTCCTTGTAAGGATGCTTATAACGAATATACTTCCGTAACAATGTTCTTACAATTCATTCAATTCAAGATCTGATAAAAGCTTCATTATCATTAATATTCACGAGTCTTTGACACTATAAAAATTGAATATTCTTTCATCTACACCACATGACTTAATTCTGAATAAGTCACCGTTTGAGGCTATTGTCCATGACATTATTCGAGATTCCTACAAACATTCCCAATGTCGCGTTCTACGTATTTTGAAGAATGTGTTTATAACCAGCATCCTTCTTAAGCAAAAATCACCATTGAAATTCCATTATTGTTTGCTATTGTAGTTATTTAGGCTCATGACATGTTTGATAGATTTTAATATTAAAAAACAAAACATTATGGTTACCTGGTCTTAATTTATATGGTTGTAATTTCTATTAAGGTGAAAACGTCAATAGGACGAACTTCAGAAGATGAACCCAAATCACACACGTGACTTCAATTTGGTAACATATACAGTATGCAAAAAATCAATAACACTGCATCATACACCGATATCTGAGGTTAAATTTGACACTATACAATGACAATGTTTATATGATAAAGAACAGACTCGAACACCTCACTGTTTGAAAAAAAAAGTACAAAGCGTTACCATCAAAATAACGTTTTAAGGCGATGGTCCCACCGCAGAAAAAAATGTAATTTCCACCTAAATAACGAATATTCTTTTATGTGTTAACATTTGCTCCGGAAAATTTAAACAATTTAAATTTTATTTTGTTTTATGAATATCTTATTTGATAGAGAAAAAACCCATAAAGTTCTCTTTAGCAATAGTAAGATATTTAGCATGCAACTGGTTATGTTTATTGAATAACTAGCGAAACTGTTTAGCAAGCTCAAAAAGATTGCTTTTCTAATTTTTCTGGAGCAGAACGCTTCAAGGGCTATATCTCCAGGGGAAATAGTCGAAAAGCAAATTTCTTTCATCACGCACACCTACACACGGTGTTCTTGAACTTTGTTAAGATACAAAATATCAAGAGGAGTTGCACAGACAAGCATTTTGGCAGACGACGGATAGGGGGATTCCTTATACATCCCCACCTCACCCAAATTTCGTCTGCGGGGGATTAACAAACCTAAGATATTGATGATACTGGTTTCATTGTCAAACATCCAGTCTCCATGGTAGTGGATTGTTGGATCGAGATCCTCGTCGTCCATTGTGCTATTGATTTTGATGCCGTTTATCTTAAATATATCTGGTTTCTTCGTCAACTGCCATGCAACGATAGCAAACTCGTGTGGCTGTGATAAAAAGAAACATTGTAAGTCTTTTAAAATTAGTATATGAAAAGCTATCCGGACCATAAACAGATTACATAACTTGTAAGAAAGTTAATATAATGTATAATCTTGTTACTTTCAAACAGAGTGAGCAACTACTTCACAATGAAAGCAAATAAACATCGGAAATCAACGAAATTGTTTCCAAGGTCATCGTTGGCTATTAAATAATCATATTCATCCATTGACATCCCGTCTAAAGTATACACATGGATTATATTTCGATAAAAATCCATTTGTGCTTATCAATTATGCTTAAAATATGTTTAATGAAAACACCACGATTAAATGTGTTTACAGTCGTATTTACTCTTAAATAGGATAATATCATTAAAATTATGCTTTATATTCATTTAAACACAAACAACTATTGTTATAATTTCAATGCTATTTTAAAAAATAGATTAGTATTAATGTCATATCCACTATCGTGAGTAATTGTCACTGGTATATATAAAAGGTAGTTATATAACCAATCGAACAAACAAATACCTCTACAATGTTTTAAGGTTGTTGTTTTTTTCATGATGTTTGTAATTTTTATGTTAATGATAAGGTAATTTACTATTATATCAAACTGGCCATGCTAGATATTTGCATACCATTGTTCTCATAATAAATCGGTCAATGAACAGAATAGCTGTTACACGATGACTTTTATTACTGACACTACGACTTGAAAGACACATTCCTGTTTGGTAATAATAAATTCAAATCCTTGCATAACTGCCATGTTATTATTTATGTTGCATTAAGCAATCAAAGGAATGCCCCTAAATTTCGCGAAAGTTTGCCTCGTCACAAATAAGAACACGTTAATGGTTAACAGTCAACGATTACCTCTTTTATGTAAACCATCTGCTATTAGATAAAACAAATACCGTTATTGTTAGTTTATTACTGATTTTGCTAGCTTTTCAAAATTGTCTGCTTGACCAGTGTCAAGACTCTTGAAACAATTCACTTAGGCACACTGTGCCGAGTCAGTAAATTCAGCTGTTCAAAAATATCGAGTCATTTCGTTATAAAACAGTACCTATACTAATACTGCAGGCTGTCAGACGAATATTTTAACCCATCCGCCCCTTAGTGGATGTTAAATTGGGGTCCCCTCGTCATATTTGACATAGGAGGCAGACACTTTCAAAAGCTCGCTAAAGCAAGTTTTTAATTACTGTTTGTGTTAAAAACAAATAAGCGATTTAGAATCTGTCTAGTCTTTGATCAGAAAAGATCAAGCTTTACATTACCTTGACATTGGAAACTAAGCCAGAGAAGCTGAGATTCGTCATTTTATATCCGTTGTCAGTCTCTATCAAGGTTGTCTTGTTTACCAAACAATTGAGGTGATAACCCTTTGGATGTGTGATTCCTTTAAACTGCCAAGGGACCAATCCTGTCCTTCTATCGGTGGTAATGTTCAATGTTTTAAACAGCACAGAATCAGGTAGCAGATTATTAAATGACAACCGTATAAATTCGACATCAGAAGGACACTTAGAGGTCTCTATCCCGACGGCTGACGTAAATGCTGAACAGCTTGAAGGCAGAGTGCCTACTGTTGGCAATACCTTACAGTGTTTCGATCCACATAGGGTTCCATCCAAGTCTGTAAATACATATTCCCATTTCCATGCACTTTTGACGCGGTTTGACGAATTATAAAAGTTAAGGTTAGATGTAAGATACTCAAACCCGCCACAGAAATTTGTACAATGTCCAGCTATTCTCGTCACCGCAAATGCAGCGCCTGCGTTGTAATTTACAAATGTAACATTTGATATCTGAAATATTCCCTGGTACGGTACCACGATACCATCTCCTCTGTCAGACGCTTTGATGAACGCGCCAAATATACGTGGTCCGGAAGAACTAGACAACAGGTTACCGGTTTCTATTACCAACTTGTATTCAATGGCTACGTTTTCGCAGTTGACGGCCGTGAAATCTTCAACGTGAATATCTCCACTGTTTACCGCTTCAAAGCATTTTTTACTGTTCCATACGTAGGTATGTTCTATTTTTGCTGGTACCGGTAGACTTTCTTTACACTCTCCTGCCCTTGGAGTGTAGGTAGGGAAAAACCACACACCGAACTCGCCTTGCGAATGCGCTGTGTTGCCATAGAATTGACCAAAAAGAGCTGATTGGGGACAAACATCTTTGGTGAATGATGGCCCCTCAGGGTGCGGATTCATGCGATACCAGAACCCATTGTGCGTTCCTCCTGCGGCACGGTTATAACGTACGAAATTGTACGGAAAGGTGATCCAGAAAGCTGCTGGAGTAATATCGTCATTCAGTAAACTACTACTTGCTTTTACACCAACAGCGATATTAAATTGAATTATATTTCCATGTTCTATTCCGTCTTCGAGGAAGAATGCGCCACCCATTATGTCAAATACAACGTTGTGTTCGATAAGAGCACCGTGAGAATTGTGAACATTCACCGCTCTATTGAAAGATTCACGGATGCCCACACCTCGGACATATGAACTGTTTGCGTCTTCTCCAAGCAAGTGGAAATGAATAGGATAACGCCCAAGACGAAAAGCTTGACCAGCATGGTGAAGTTCTACATATTCTATCCGCGCCATGGCTTTAGTGCTAGTTGATGATTTGTGTATTATTACGTGAACACCAAACTGACCATTGCCACTTTGCAAGCGTCCCGTTGAACAGGTTTGGATGTCGAATTCTCCTAAATGAGAATTAAAATAAAGTAGGAATCAAACAGTACCGAATTTAATTTGGCTGGAATATTACAAAATCAATCAACAATGATTTTCAATTTTTAAATTGTATAGTCTTACATGAAATATGTTTTGGATATGACCAAAATGAATATTCATAGACATAGGTTCCCGCTATGGAGCAAAATATGCATATCTGGAACACATGATATTGTACCTTAACAATGGTAAATAACTAATTTGTTCATACTTTGCCTGTTTCATCGAATTACAATTTTATTTTCGAAGTGAACGAGGAACTGGCTATTTGTATCGATTATTTTTATGCAGTTGCTTAAAATTTGATAGAAACGCGTAGCTGATTAATTCTTATTGAAAAGTCAGCAAAATAGACAACTAGGGTTTCCTTAAAGGCACTCGTTTATTTTGAACTCCGAAACAAATTTGTTAGTTATAAAGCGATAGTTGTTTCTTCATACAATTATATTGATATTCACAACTACAATCTTCAATAAGATTCATTAGTCTGGCAATATGTATAATCAAAGTTTTACTTTCTACACGAACAATGTACAGTTTAATCCTGTCGTAATGTTTGGAGACCGACTGGTCCCTTTGTCAAGCTTTGACTGAACATACCATCCTTAGGTAATACCGAAGACATATACAACTGAAATTTATTCAACGATGGTTCACAGCATGAAAGTAAATAAAAAATGAATAATATTGAAAAATACGATCACTGTTCTGATATAATACTTCACTAGTATAACTTCTATAAATAATTGGATATCTAACCAGCAATAGGTGTAACTTTTTAATAGAAATCACGTGTATACATAAAAACCAATGCGGGAAACAATAAAAGAATACCGAAGTATCAACAGAACCATAATTCGAACTCCAAATGAATAGAACTATAGCAAAATATGAACAAATGAAATATCTCAGTTAGACACTTAAAAAAATACCAGGATATTCAGACCAGATGTTCCGCAAGGATAAGCGTCTTTTGCTTCATCTGCGACATCCGCAATGTAAATTTAGCTTTAATCCAAGAAATGTAAGCATAACCTATTCAAGAATTCGGGTAGTAGCAACAAATGTTATAGGCGTAATCAAAGCCATCGACCTTCATAATATGAGATATGATGAGATGGTACGTAATCAGTTATTGTAAACGTTAAGCAAAGGCTTTTAAAATGAAGATAGTCCGACTTATAAAGTACGTGGTTTAAATATTACTAGAGAATTGTATCATCGCACAAAAGAGGCAACCACTTTTCCAGAACTACCACTGAAAGTAATAAAATAATTCTGTTGAATTAATTTGGCTCTCAACAACAAAAGTACGCCACAAAACGAGACACCTCTATCACAATTATCTGCAGATACTGAATTATGACAAAAGGACAAGAGTGAAGGCTAAACAACATCCTTCATCAGATACTGAATACAGGTAAACGTTCGCCCAGTCAGGTATTTGCCGTTTACCAGTAAATCGATTTATGCCCAGTGTTAATTTCGCACTTCACGAGCAATAACGATATAGTGTATGCTGTTGAATTTTTTATTCCCTTTCATGATAAATTCGTCCTGATTGTCAAGTGCATAAAAGGAGCAAGTTAACCCACGGCGAAAATTCTTGGGATATATAGTTTATCACACTTAGTTCAAACAAAAATTATTTTCCCTTAAGTAAGGGGGTGTTTTAGAGAACGGAACTTTACTCTGTTCAATGAGTGTTTTACTACCTGAACCGTGACAATAGCTTTTCGTTGGATATAGCCAAATGAATGGGACGATTTTATCATACCAGCAATAAAATGTACAGTATAATTACTGAGTGAACAACAGAGAAAACAAAATATATGCAAAATGTACTTACCCATACCAAATCCATCCGAACTCAGTGTGTCGTCCTCTTCTAATCCATAGTCGCGGTTACCTTGGATAACGATGTTGTGTGACAGAAGGCCAACTTCCGCCCGAAAGTGTATTTCTCTCCCAGCATGCTTCTCAGTTGTGCCAAGATGGGTGTGGTTCAAGGGGGAAACAAGAGTTAAAATGGTGGTATTTCTATTTGTAACAATGACACTTTGGATCGTGTGGATTTCGTTTTCATGCAGTGATTTAGGTTTTCCTGTTGAAGCAATGACTATTAGGTCCCCCGTCACCCATGGTACGACATTTTCCACCTCTATGATACTTTGACCTGACGCTGCTGTGGAATATAACTGGGTTGATGTGTTACGAGGTTTGCCTGGTTGAAAAAAAGTACATCAAATTACAGTAACAAAATACCTATTTTAGCGGACCTTTACCATAGCATTATATAGAATTTAAACAGATTACTTAAGAGCATATATGCATTGGCGCACTCACAATATACACAATAGAAAATAATTTAAAAATATTTTAATGAGCACATTATTTATAGCTCAATTTTACAACTACAAAATGCGGTTAAATTAGGATTCCACTAAAATACCAGTACGTTTACAATATGAACGTTCACCAATAATAACCAATCGACTTCTATTGAAATATTCATATCAATATTATTTTGAAGATTTCACACAAATGACCATGAACAGCTTTTGCTGGATTAAATCAACTTTTTAAATTGCCTCGATAGTTCAAGTTTTTAATATTTATTTCGCTTTCGCTTTCGATATGATTTTTTACTGAACACAAACACAAATCGATAAATACCATGAATTGTTGATTGACATTAATATACTGCTTCTTCACACACAATAACAGAACTTGATAGTTTGTATTAATTGAAGTATGTGAATATTCATTTCTATAAATAGACATTACTCAGAGGGGGACATTAAGCGCTTCCAGTTTACTAATGAATTTAGAAATATAAATCGGGGAAGTTTACCTTGTATTAGGCATAAACAGAGTACATAGAAAAAAAGAATTTGAAGTAGGAAAGGGCTGGTGTATGTCGCCTTTGAACTTGAATTGCTTCAAATCAAACTTTCCGGTTTATGACCACCAAAAAACCTCAGGACAATTCATAATGACTTAAACTTCCCAACTATTTATATACCATAGCATCAAAAGAGTATCACAGTATTATGCATTATCCATATGGCTGCAAATTTGATACAGACACCTGTTATATATAGTTAATATCTATTCCCTGAAGGTCCACAACTCATTGGTGGAAAAGCCAATTGATCAAAGTAGAGTAAAAGCTCACTGTACAACCATCATTCGTAAATGTTTGCGGTATAATGGGGTTTGGTGATAATTTAGACTGAAAAAATAGTGTTAACAAAAAAGAGAACGAATTTTGAAATATTATGGCAGTGTGGAAAGTGGCATATGAAATGAGGGGCATTGAATCGAGGTTGCACTGTACACGAATTTTGTACAACACTTGTTCAACTTAACCGTGGTCAGCACGCAACGGTTCCTTGTTCCGAATTAATTCTTTTCATTAATTGTTCTAACAAATAATTATTTATTCTTCCGAAGTACCCTAACGCAACTTACGATACCTTTAACTTAACCTGTGTTAACAGTATTGAAAGTGTCATATTCACACAAAATACCTATATAGAGAATGTCCTTAAGTCAGTGGATCTATGAATGCACTCTACAAACCATGCTGGTGTGACACCCATGGACCACATCATACATATCGACATATATAATTCTTACTATGTGTAATTGAAACTATTCAATTCATGTGTTATTAAAGTTTTATACTCACCGTGTAATTCTATCCGTGAGTCCCTGATAGCTATTGTCTTCGTCCCATATATTGGTATCTCCTTCGATCGCGGATGCCCGTGCAAAGTGACCTTAGCACTGTGTTGGAACGGTTCTTCTTCAGTTCCAATCTATGATATAAAAGCACACACATAAATACATCAAGGGTACCTTTATTGCTATTTATGTTCGATATTTCAGTTAAACGTTTATACTGTAAATGGAAAAATAAAAATAAATATTCCGCAGTAGAATACATTCGTGACACCCGTTAATATTCGTTCTGATTGGTTTGTTTCGCATAGACTAAGATCCAAACAGCAATAAATAGATGGACGTTCACAAAATAAAATAAATCAAAGTTAAACTAGTAGTCTAAATGTTTCAAAGATGCAATATATATATGTTGCAAACTTGCGTGTGAACTTCCTATATTCTAACGGATGTGACGTAAGGGTGACGACTATTCAATCCATGATGAAGAACTTAGACTAAAAGCTTGAACATAGAGTGACCAGTGACATTTTTTTTAATTATGTTCCATCCAGGAACTTTATGATGGACATTTATGCAAACAAAGTGGTTTAAAAATGTAATATAAATTACATATTATCAAAGAGATGAATTTAATTTTAAGTTATAATATATAAATGACAAAGAAATTTTACCATACAAAATATTCATCGGCGCAGTTAGTCATATCTCTGTAGTGTAAATGGGTAATCACAAGCTTGAAAATACAGTTTATTTTCATTTCGTAAGCGTGTGTATTGTAGTCAAGACCTTTATGCGATCGTGAGAGTAAATTGTCTTCTCATAAACCCTCATAAGCTTGAAATGCAAATAATTAATAATGTATTCCTTCAGATCATTTACCCATTTATAGGTTAGATAAAACAAAGACAGCATGTTGAGTAGATAAGCGATTGTTTCAGATATAAATCGATCTAAAGAATCACCTGTATTGAAAGTTTACAACAATTGGCCTTAGTTCCGTTGCAAGAGCTTTGCATAAAATGTGAAAATAGCCTAGAGGATATGGTTGTTCGTCATCTCCATTTGAGCATTTACTTTGTTCATATTCTGCTCTATTGTTATCAATTGTGAGCTGGAATAACGATTTTATTCCTTGGTGTTTTTTGACTTTCCTTTAGCTTTTTTCAGAGAAGATTTAACTGTACCAAATTCATTCAATTTTATCTCTTGCAAATTTTTGTCTGTGCAATTTCCCCTGAGTCACGTAGATAGTCATCTCAAGTTCTTGCTATGGCGACAAAAGGTAGCTTTTTCCGTTGTTTTTTTTCCATATAATTTACAACCTTGTCTTTGATGAAGAGATTTTTTTTTCTTAATTTAAATACATTAACCCACTGTCACACGTAATGTTTTGTTTCCTAGACGTTTTGGAGAAGAAGAAAAAAGAAAAAAAATCAGGGCCAATAGCGACCAATTAACTTATCATAAATGTGCAGTGATGCAATCAATCTAACAGTTAATGTTGGCCTGATACTTTGCAATGTGAATGTTCACACCATGTTTGGTTGTAATCGACAATTCTAGATAAGTAATTGTATTGTCATTAATTGATGCATTGGATGTTACTACAATTCTGATTGGTTATTAAATGAAAACATATATGCATAACGTTACATATTGATAGCCCACGCAAAAGAGCACACAAAGTTAAAAAAAAAAAAAGATTATCTGAGTCACCATGCTTATCATAGGCGTATGTGCAATGAGGTAGACACAAATAAAACCGTTATAACACTTGATAAAACAGATATACTCAACATATCTTTGTATATAATATTTAAATATTTAAATATTAAACTTTTACTCGGCATTCAATACATTTTTGTTCCAACATTTTCTCTCCCTCGCTATATATTACATCGCAATATACGCACATATATTGATAATTTATTTATTACACACCAATACATTTGCAAATCAAAATCTGGCCAATATCAATGTGCAAATCAAATGTGATAAAATAAAATTAATGAAGAGGAGTTGCAGTATGGCAATCAATAATCCAACAAAAATGAGTAGCCTTATTAATTATGTGTAAATATGCATGAATCAAACTTGGTTTGACAGTTTCCATTATGAATTGGGTTCATAAATAGGCAATAACACACATAATTGTGTTGACTGTGTAATATACTACCGTTTACCTGATGTGTGTATTTTTTTTTGTGTGTGTATTTTTTTTTTTGTCGGAGGCAGAGATGCTATTCACAAATAAATTTATGAATTGAATGTGAGTTCATATGCTCTGATGCAATCAAAATCGTTTTGTCAAGATGCTATGCATTACATTAAAGAACGACGGCATGAGTTAAGAACATGTTTGTAGTTCATGTCTAACGGCAGTACAATATTAAAGAAATAAGCGACACCAACCTGAAAAAGTCCACCATCGGTCACAAGGATGATTTCTGCGTTCAGCTCAATGTCTATTTCGTCAAAAATGAGGGTTCCACCTTTTTGCACAAAATATTTTGAATACAGTACAGTTGCTATATCTAGCTCATTACACTTTTTCGGGGGAATATGATAGTCCTGATATATACCATGTATGGTTGCCTGCATAGGTATCTTTCAATTATAGCGATTTGCAGGAAGCTGCAAGTATTACTTATCCGGACAGCCTTCACTAGGAATTTTCTTGCTGCGTGTAAATACGCTTAACCGATCATCCATTAATAAATATGTAAGGTCCAATTTAAATCCATAGTTCTAAACTTGATCGTGTCAGAAAACTAATTTGGATTTTTTCATATAGTTTGAGGAAAAATTCCGACATTCTGTTTTGCACTTCGTATTCTAAAAGTGTTAACACCATAATGCTCCATTTGTGTAGGGGTTTTTATGTTGATATTTAAGATTGCAGACAAAATGTTTGTTTGGCCGTTGATGGCATAGTTCAGTCTTTGACAATTGACTTATGAAAGATATGTATTCAAAGCTACAGCGTAAAATATCTATGCACAGAAAAAAAACTTTAAATACAACTTCAATGGTACACAGGTGAAAGTTCTATACTTACCTTGTATCAGAAGTAGTTTTAAAATCGGAGTGCTGGTATCAAGCAATATTGTTTGACCACTTTTGATGACAACAAGGTCGCCGGAAGTGGGAAGACCTAAACCACCCCAAGTAAATTCTGAGGACCAGACGTCTACATATTGGAATCCTGCATTGACCTAAAACATTAATTTCAAAATACACTCATTGTATTTCAAGCGCCTTTTTATTGGTTATATGACTATCTAGATCTGGACGTGACTTTTTAGAAACACTTTTGGGGTTTTACTCTATAAAGCATCTGCTGCGTTTCTGTGTTTTACCTGCCATTAACATGCTTGCGTGTTTTCATGTTCATTAAGGACAATCTGTCTTAATTCAAAGACAAGTACTGTGTCACTTCTGTACTTTAATTATATTCTTACTATACTTGCATGATGATCTATATACTTTATCAAAATGAATTCTTAATTCTTAATTTTAAGTTAATAAATGACAGGTTTTGTGTCTATTCAGCTGCAATATAACATTGTTTTGTGATTTATGGGTGGGTTTTTTTCGTTGAGTCTCATGATTGTACTTGCATAACAAAATGACTAAATGACTGAATGTAGTTACTAACTTTTACCAACAAGCATTGGAGAAAATAAAAAAGCGATCGTGTTACTACATATGTTAATATTGAAAATATTGTGCGATCGATGTCTTACCGATAAGATCTAGATCCTGTCCTCACTATGTCTTTAATCTTGTATTGTGTAACTTGTGGTACCTGTTTCGCCTATATCATAGACATAGCGTAGGGAGGATTAAGGATCAGGCCGGACTGACCTGTTTCGCCTGTCCGTATGGCCTGATCCTTAATCCTCCCTACGCTATGTCTATGATCATACAAAATGTAAATTGTAGTACCTGTTTCGCCTGTCCGTACGGCCTGATCCTTAATCCTCCCTACTCTATGTCTATGATAAGGTATAATTTAACTTGTGGTACCTGTTTCGCCTGTTCGTTAAGACCTTTCCTGGTTCCTCTCTTCGCTATGTCTATGCTAATGTATAATCTAACTTGTGGTACCTGTTTCGCCTGTCTGTTAAGACCTTTCCTAGATTATATCTACGCTATGTCTATGATAAGGTATAATTTAACTTGTGGTACCTGTTTCGCCTGTTCGTTAAGACCTTTCCTGGTTCCTATCTACGCTATGTCTATGCTAATGTATAATGTAACTTGTGGTACCTGTTTCGCCTGTTCGTTAAGACCTTTCCTAGATCCTATCTACGCTATGTCTATGATAATGTATAATGTAACTTGTGGTACCTGTTTCGCATGTTCGTTAAGACCTATCCTAGATCCTATCTACGCTAAATCTATGATAATGTATAATGTAACTTGTGGTACCTGTTTCGCCTGTCCGTTACAGCCTGGTACCACACGGACTAATGCCATCATCGATCCTTGGTGGGATTCTGTTACACACTTGATCACCGTGTTTGTCCAGGAAGTGATATTACACTCCGAACCATCTATACTCACTTCAGACGGACACGGTTGACTCTGTCTTCCACTTTGAAAAAAGAAACACACACGTGATTGCACCTACAGTTACAAAGTAGGACTTCTACAGCTATGTGAGCCATATGTTTAGTATGTTAAGTAACGACTAGCACGATAAATAAAACAGATTGCATACTTCAGTTGGGTTCCAATATTTTCCTACGTGTTAGAAGTTATGAATAGTAAAGAGAAAATAAATAAACTTTTGTAAATCCGTTGGCTGACCCGATTGTGCATGCCCATTCCGAATTTCTATTCTCATGAGCACGATTTGACCTAAAATTGCCTTATTTGTCATCAAAATCTTGAATCGATCACTAAAAAGTACATTGTATATTTTAAAAGACTTACCCAAAGTTAGTTCCGCTGATGGTCAATACAGTGCCTCCTGCTGTACCGCCACGTGTTGGGGCAACACTCGTGATACTCGGGGTAATGGTAGAGCTATACGTGAACGCTTCGGTTAGGCTCTTCGTTACAGAAGTCTGGATGATGGTCACATTACAGACAATGTCGACATTTCCTAGAAACATGATTAAACAAGATTGATGAAGACTGTATATTTTGCTTGCTTTATCTAACATTACTATAACACATATTGGGAAATCATGAGTGCCAAATATGAGTTCGAACATATTTTAATTCTCAGAACACTTCAGCTTGTCATTCAATCGACCCCCTGCATGATACGAAAAAGCTGGACAACTGCCAGTTAGTCAGAATGCTGTGAAAATGAATACGTGTATGTCTTTGAACAACGACATGAAACAATAGCAATATTAGTTCACAGTTACCTTTTTTCTTGCAACAGTTACACCTCGTCTAAAAATGCATTGATAATCTGCCATTGTGTTTTATGTTTAAGGGTGAGTCAGGTAAGGACATCCGGTACGGAATGCGGACCGGAATTGCGGTACAGAAATAGTTAAAGGCGTAACAGGTTATGGTCCTGGTAGAAAGTGGGAGTAACCAAAGAAAATGCTTCTTCCGTACGGCCAGTACTTGTCAACTGCCCTACGAAGGGCTCAAAGCATCGACTCGTTGGTGAAGGGCTAGTGATAATAGATGTCAGGCACACCAACCACTCGACCACCTTGGCCTCCACAATAATGTGACCAATGGAGTGTTGGCTGTTACCATATGTCAGTTTAGTAAGCTTGCCTTTTACAATGGTCCATTACAAGTCACCACTGACAAATTCTAAAGTGAACATGTCCGTGTATCAATACATTTACATTCTAAAACGACTGCTGTCTGTGTACTGTAGAGACACGGAAAAGCAAAACAACTCGTACCTTCTACTTCAGGTGTCAGACAGACGTATTGGGTTGTTGTGGAGGCATTTCCAGTAGGCTTGCAGATTTCGTTACATATCATTGCGATAATATTTTGCTCAAACCCAGTTCCGGTTATGGTCACCGTCTGTAGACCAGCCATACTCCCTATCAAGAGTGACATTCATAAATATACAGTATTATATAACTAGTATTTCAGCACAAATCACATGTTGATTTTGGTCAGGATTAAAGGATCAAAACGTGAACAAATAGTAATCGTATCGAAACTAAAAAAATGTACAGATAAATGTATTCATGATGTTGTAAATATACAAACTTCACAGTAACCAATTACACGTACCAATCTTATGAACGAAGTACCTGCGAAATCATTATATTGATAAGCAGAATTTAACTACTCACATGTAGCCGCCAAGACATTTTAGTGGTACATTATATATGTTTTGCTTCCAAGTGTTCTTTAATATTCACGTTTTCAAATGTACCTATTAAAAGTTGTTGTAAAAATACATGTGTGATGACAAATGTAAAGTTGACGTTATAAAAACTATTTGTCTAGCATAACAATACGCTCATCCATCTGAGCTAACTAATCGTGAAGTATTGACGAAGGTTTTTGATTACTTTTAGTTGGTTATCATTTGGTTTGTTTAAATCATGCTAACATATATTTGACATTTACATTGATGAAAAACTTATCGTTTCATTTTTAATGGTTAAATATATATTATTATTTTTTTCAATTATTAAGCTGCATTACACATACCTGATGTGGGAGAAATGGCTACCACCGACGTTTCAAATGTAAATCCATCATACATGTTAGATTTTCCAATGCCTGTTACATCAACGAACAAATTATGCGTTCCTGCAGTCTGACTTCCGGCAACGCATTCTATTTTAGTTGGCGATGAGGATGTCACATTGCAAGGCGTGTTTTCAATGAAGACATGATTCATTTCATTCTGAGACTCAAAATTGGTGCCGGTAATTGTTATGGTTGTACCATGAGTTCCGGAAGTAGGTGATATAGAACCTATGCTAGGTGTTATGCTCATGTTGTAGGAGAATGTTTGCTGGGGGTAGGCTTTCTGAAAATAAACATATGTAAGTGAAATCCTTTTTCAATCACATATTGTGAAATAAGTGTAATTTGAACAAATTTTAAATCACCATAATATAGAAAATATCATTAAATATATATTAATGAGTACTAAGTCTATTGTGAAGAGTGTACACCATAAACGAAACATAATTGTTGTTGCCAGGCGACAATCGATGTCAGTTAAGTTATTACCGTTATCATACATGTATTGACTGTTATCGAATCATTGCGTAATTACCAACGTAATTAACCAATAAAATTGTCATATACAGTTTGTGAGAGGAATACGGGTCCAATCCTGATCGATTAAACAGGTCTAAATGTTAACAGTAGTGACATTTCACCTTAAAACACTGCATATTTATTCCCTAGGTCAGTTTCAGATCGTCGAAGCCATCACATACGTGGTATTATAACAATTGTCATTTTTTATGTTATTAATGAAAATAATATTATAACATGAAAGATCGCGCATATATATTACAAATGAGTGCTTGGACAAATGCCTATCATCGATTTTATAAATAAACGTTGTTTAGGGATTTCCGTATAAAAACGTCATTTTATATAACTGGAGACCAGTAACACCCATGCACTTGTTAGTACCAGACGCTTATTAGATGGACCATAGGATATTACTTACTTATGAACATATGGCGTAAATTTGCTTGCATTCTCCTGCAAGGAGTCAATAAATCGCGTTTAAATTGTCGACAAACTTGTTGCGACAAGTCGACGTCGTTTGTGGATACGTCATGGTACCTCGCGGAGTCGAAATATATTAATAATTATGGGCGTCATCTTCAGTTATTTATATGTTAGCTTGATAGCTTGCATGGAAAGATGCCTTAACACAATTGTTTTTTGCAATAAGCTTGTAACGACCTAAACTAAGTGATGAACAGGAATGGACGTTTAAGAGTTACTATTGTCCATGAAAACTTTGACTTATATGGCATATAGTATAATGAAAAATATGTACTTACCGAATTTGACTTTACGACTACCGCAACAGAAGCTTCGACGTTACTTGGGGTAGAACATACAACTTTGGAAAGGTCGACAAAAGACACTGCACATAATTTACTATTAAGTTTTACTGTCGTGTCCGAAAGAAACCCGTTTCCGCTGACAGTTAATGATGTACCTCCGTGTACACTTCCAAGGTCGGGCGAGATGTTAGATATCGTTGGTACACTGGTCACTAAAAGATTCCCAGTCGCAATGCCCTTTCCAATAATGTGAACTTCAATATTATTATTTCCAACTGGAAGATTCTCAATGGAGCACTGAATTTCTGTGTCGATCGGTACTGACGTCAGGTTACATGCATAGCTTTGAGCAAGGGCTTTACTAGACAGTGACACCGTTACTGAGCTTCTCGTCGTCCCGAACATTGTTCCGTTAATTGTCAGGGTTGTCGTCTCGCCTGTTGCTGATTGTGGTGTAACACCCGTTATTGTAGGCGTCGCGTTCTCGGTGTATGTAAAGTTACAGGAGGATTCACAAATACTAGGTACCCTCACATTTCCTTGAGCAATCTTTACAAGCACGTTCACGTCTTTAGCTATTGACGATGGCGGGGATATGCAGGTGATAGACGTATACGTACAGTTTTTAACCACACATTGGTATCCCCCAAATGTAACGTCTATATTTTCTGCACACTTGCTTCCTTCTATAAATCCCGTCCCAGAGATCACCACCAATGTACCGCCCCCCAATGAACCTGTCGTGGGCGCAATTGAAAGTACTAATGGTAGCAAAGCAAACTTCAAGTCAGTTTTTATATTAGCAAAACCCATATTGTTAACACGAAACTGAATCATCCCCGGGCGCCCTATTTCCGGGCTATTTGATATGTCGATCCTGCAAGTAGCATTTGATTTGAAACTTGACGTAGCTGAACATGAGTAATCGCCAAATGTGATTTCATTCCGACAGTTAATCGTTGAAAACCCTACTCCAGTCACCACGATGTCTGAATTTGTTGTCCCGTTATCTACATCCACCGTCTCAACAGAAGGAGTCTTACATGACCAAAATGCAAAGTAGAAATGCGATGGGTCCGACACGGCGGGATATTTGTCTTTACAGTCAGCGATACTGGCGGTAGAGGTCTGACACTGACTGGAATCCGATGGGTCTTCAACTCCTGGAATGTAAATATTATATATTATAAATAAATGAATAAAAATGTATCTTAATTTTAAGTGTGAGACAGCTGGACAAAATGAAATAATCTATAAAAATAAACGATGTAAATTATGAATGGAACCCATGTCTATTATAAGTCTGTTATGTAGCATAAAATTTACTTTTGATATTTTCTTTTAATAACTGTAATAGGTGTATCTGAAACACAATCATAGAAAATAAACTTCAAGGAGCTAAAACGACATGTATATCGATTCGATATATAGTAGCGGAAGACACTGTATTTCATACTCAAACATTTAAAAACAGTTTTAACTGTAAGAAGGATCGCTATGACCTTAAATATCGACCAAGGCTACACGAACAGATAATTTATGCTTTCATGCCTTGTATTTCTTGAGAAATCGTTAACAGTTTTTGTCACATATGTTTGTGTGACTCTTATGATCTTGAATGCGGCTTAATTTCATTCTTTAGAACTTGTTTATTATTTTTACTAAATTAAAAATTTCGATTACTACACAATAATCTAATCTTGCTTGTAACCAGCATTTTTAATGACTTAAACATTTATGTTATCAGCCTATAACGTAAAACAATGACGTCGCCGTTTGTAACGTCGCTTTTGATTGGCTAATACAGCGGCGTAATCATTTCGAAGAGAAAAATAGTCCATCAATACAAGCGGATTTCCAAAAGGATTGTGTATAGAAGATTGAATTATAAGGATTGACTTGAATATGTTTTTTATGATATGGAGCTATAACACAAAAAACTGGAGTGTACTCTCATCATAAACCGCTGTTTGTTTAGAGTACACTCCGTTTTTTGTGTTATATCTCCATAACATGAAAAATATATTCAACTTAATCCTTAAATATTCACTAACCTTTTAATGTGTCCCTTATAATAGACCAAGAGATCGGGAGTAGAACATTGGTGTCAGTTATAGTACACGTATAGTTCACGTGTAGAGCATTACAGTCAGTTCAGGAACCTTAACTTTCGGAAAATGCAAAAACAACAGAAATCACATTACCAGATTTGGTGTTATAGGTTGCCTCGATGCCGTTCAACTCAACGCTTATTTTGGCTGCTGAGGAAACAAGTTTGTCCACATCTATGTATCCGTGAAACTGGTAATTGCAACCTCGATCAATACAACCGCTCCAGTAGTACACACGCCCGGGTGTATTAAATTGTTTCATGAAATAACCTGCAAAAGAAATCAGATTCCACCTTATTTTATTGTTTTGTTTTTTATTTCTTATTTAATATATGAGGATAAGTGGAGCGACGTTTTCATTTCAGTTCCATGTTGCCAATGTTCTGGGTTTTTTAAATCAATGACATATCTATAGGTCGATCACCTATTACATATCATGGTAAATTTATTACGTGGACGTGAAAGTCATATAATGTTGTAATTTCACAAATGTTTACAAAACATAGACAGCTCAGTGGCACTTCAAGGCCCAATAAACATCCATGCATAAAATGTTCAAATGATATGAAATATTTTAGTTTTAACGTGTAAGTTTCCATATTTACTTTTTTGATTTGCATACACTGACGGCGTCACTGGACCATTTAAACATTTTTAGCTTTATTGTTCTAACAGGTCGCCATATTTCCTGTCTTATCTACGTGGTCATGCAAGGCTGTGCAAGAACCTTCTGATTGGTCAAATCTACGCTGTAATAGCTATATTTACAACCAATCAGAACAAGTTTTTTTCAAATACATGTGTGCCTCGGAGTATATAGAGAAAGGACAACATCTTTATAAAATATTTGAGAGGTTATTTGAAAATAATTTAAACATGAATAAAGAGAGAGAAACATTGCGACCTGTAAGGGCTACAAAGCTTTTAAATGTGACGATGATATGTCGTCAAACATTACCGATAACGTAGAGATATATACATTTTATATCTTTACTTACAAGGAGGTGCTTGCCATCTTAAAGTTATTGCAGAGAGATACCGGTCATTGTACTTGATACACTGATACCTGAACAGTGTATGTCTCACTCATACTTCACTTATTTCGGAGAGATGTAAGTTTGATTTCATGAACTATGCAGAGGTCTGCATTCATATTTTAATAATAACAGATATAAATGTTGTTCATGCTTTACTTATATACGGAGAGATATATATATATATTAGTGATATTTTGCTATCTAGGGAGAGCTGTGCCTCGTATTATACTCGTTACGAAGATATAAATGTATCTCTTTCTGTATTACACATATTGTGTATTCCACCGCTACCACCATGTATTATAGCATAAAACCATAGTTAATATTTAAATTTTACCTGAGTGTGTTGCCTCGCCACTGTCGAAACCACCAACTAAGAATGCCTTTGTTGTCATATCCTTTGATTGCCCCATTTTCATAGTAAGATCATCCAAATGTTCCGGGAACTGCCATTTAAATAATACCTCGTCACTGGCTCGGATTTTCAAATGGCGTTTATTTAGACCTGGATGGTAACATTTACAACAATCAAAATGTGAAATGAAATATAACATTAACATTTATATCAATGGCATTCACCATTTTAGCCAGCTTAAAATAAAATATTGTATTTAAAACAGCATATCTATTCATATAGAATATCACGAAATATGCAGTTGTGTGTTCACTAAATGTTAATTGTCTCAATATAGCAAAATATAAGGGTTTTTTAAACACAACACACCGTTAAATAAATAAAAGTAACGTGTCTGTAATATACACATGGGTGATCGGTAACGAACTCACCTGGTGGAATCTCCTCAATGGTCACACGATGCATTTGTTTGGTGTTTTCTATTCGACAAATAATTTGGTTTTCAGTAGTTGATTCGATCTCACATTCATAATCACCAACTTTGACTTCAACCTGGTCAGAGAAGCCCTCTCCGGTAAGTGTGATACTTGTGCCGCCGTGTAGCGATCCACTGACAGGATAAACGTTGTCAATCCGCAGCTCGCATGTTATATTTGGCAGCTTGTTGGACCTGTAATGAAATGCCCATTTAATATATGTTAAGGATATCCATACAACAATGGTTGGCTTTGATAGATATCCATTCGGGAAAGTTACTCTCGAAGTACCGACAAGATTCGCCGTGTCTGTTAGACTAGAAGATAAACTCACCTGAGTGGATTAATGGAATCGTCCACTAGCGCGTGGGTGTGACAGCGAAATCTTAACCCAAAGGGTGATCTTACTGATTGTCTTATTTCAACCATGCTTCAAGCCGAGGATTAGACATCGAATAATCTCACCCGAAGGGTATGGATTTATCCAACACATAATCTATCGAGGAGGAGGATTCTTTTTCTCCCATGCTGATAATAACATATCTAAAAACATTAGTTATTTGATATTTCTTATCTGTAATTTTATCCTGTTTTACAATTAAAAACTGTCGAAAACAGATTATGACATCGTCATTTATTGTTCCTCTGTCGTCATCCTACATGTGCCGTTTTTACAGTCTTGAACAAGTTAAGTGGAAGACAATTAAGTGAAGGGTGCGAGGAATAAATCAGATAATCATTTATAAAGCCGAAGGTTGATCGTTTGTTTTTTACGAAGTCGATAAGTTAATACAATGTACAGATGATGTGACGATTTTAACCCCGTTAGGTTACTTCACAAAACGTAAACTATGGACTAGGAGTGGAGTTTGTAACAGTTATAAAGGAAATATATACGACATAGAAATACACGTTTTAATTCGAATTTAGTCTTTCCGAAATATACAGCAGGCAATCTATCCTCATTCAGTATAAGTTTTGCATTTTGTTTTTCGAATCGATAACTTTTTAAATGCAACATTCATTTCTCATTAAAAATGAAACACGAGGGGGTATATTGTAGTAGTGCGTTTTAAGTATGAGTTATTTATAATTACGAATCAAGTGCGGCTCCAAAGTCTCCGATGCATAGTTTGACTGTATTACTTCCAGCAGTACAGGGGGATAACTCAGCAGTGACTTGGGTATCGCTTTGGGCCATTATCTTCAGTTGTGTACCACCAAGCATCAAGATTGTATTGTTCTGCACACCAAACCCAGTGCCATTGATGACTAGGTGTCCACCGCCTAAAATGTTTTTCTGATATATGTTAAACGTTTCGAAGAAATATAAAAACGATAAAGATCTACCAGCATATTATTACATAAAGATGCAAAGAGACAATACGAATAGTGAAAAAAGGAAAAAGAAGAGACACAAAAACAACAGCAAACGACTTTATATACCATCACTTCTAACACAGGAGTAGTCAATTTGATAATTTGAAGGTGTATTAATATATCCTGATGTCATGTCATTGTATTTTGCAGCATTCTATCAAAGAGAGTCAATCGTGCATATTAAAGAAAGACCCGGTGCATCTTATAGGATGATCGTAGGAGACCATTGCTATAGACCCCATCCGAAAAATCGGGGTTCTCGTCTGTGTCCGTAATCTATGTCACGACCATAAAAGTAAGTATCACTAACAAATTGGAAAAGAAAAAAGCCTGTTGTAAAGTGTTTAACTGAACACTGAACATAACAAAAGACGCAGATGAATAGCTTTCCATAGCTTTGCATATGTCTATTTTTAATACATTCTGATGTAAACAATTTCAACACATAAACTGTTATCCCTAGTAGCTTGACAGGTATGGACCTCGAGTAGATATATCTGTTAGATATGAATGATAAATGCGTACATGATACCTCAACAAAGATTAAACAATTGGTAGCATTTTGAACTGTTATACCTCCGACACCAGTTGCTGTAGGCGATATCCCTGTTATCCGTGGTGTCAGCGAGTCATCGTATGTAAAACTTGCCGCCAAACTGCTCGTGTCACTACCGTTCAAGATATCATACTTGATAGCCACGTCAACAACGCCGTCTGTAGCCTGCAAAATCAAAATCTCATCAGTAAAACAAACGACACTTACACATCTGAAACACCTCATCTTATTTTTGCATTTCGTTTTAAAAAGTATACATGTGAAAGTGTTCCTGTTCCTTCTTTACCGTAGTTTCATCAAACATAGTTGGGAATATGTATTGACTTTGGTTTTGTTTAAACTCCGGTTCTATTTCCGTTGTGTTTACACTTTGTTTTTGTTTAAACTACGGTTATATTTCCGTTTTGTTTACACTTTGGTTTTGTTTAAACTCCGGTTCTATTTCCGTTTTGTTTACACTTTGGTTTTGTTAACATTTCAGTTTTCTTTTCAACTCAGAAAAAAGGTCAAAGTTTGAATCCATATCGTGTAATTGCAATGTTTACGTTGTACTTGCTTTTCTGCATTATAACACTTTAAAATAGTTACTAACATGCGAAGTTCGGGAAAAGAACAAGCCTTCTGTATTCACGCCTTGGGTTTAATCTATTAAAACATTATAGTATTTACCTATCCTTCCTTCCTGCTTGAACATAAAAGATTATAGTCATAAGCTACCATATTGCAGACAGTGTGAATGAAAGAAAGTAGGTACATACCGCAGGTGGAACCTCACAGACTACTTCTGTATACGTCAATGTCTTTACGCTACAACGCCTGGAGTCTACTGTCGGGAGAACAGTGTCGCTGAAGCCGTACCCATGCATGGTCAACATAACTGCTCCTATAAATCAATAATCGGTGATCAGCTTATAGATGCGATACTGGGGACATAAAAACATAAACAAAACAAGGGGAATATTAAATCATAAACAAAAGCGTGATTTTAACTCTAAAATGGTTAATCTAGAACGCAAATATAAACAAATGAAAGGGCCACATGGGCATCACTGAAAGCTTACAGGACAAATATACTGCTTTTTATTACATTTTTCGGCGTCATCTGTTTCACCAGAATCATATCATACAAACCTAGCTATATTGTAAGTAGTATATATTCCTCAAAGAGGGAATCAATGTAGTCACAACGAAACCCAAAGACAAACACGTAACTACAATTTTCATATCAAAAGAGTGAAAACGATATTTCGCAAAGAGGTAATAATTAAATCTGCGTTTAAGAAGATTAAGTTAAAATGTAATTTTAAGAATTAAACCAACAACACCTTTATCACTTCTTACAAAACCAAGGTATTTCTGAAACGTTCGTCATCTCACAGTGGCTATCGCTTTTGCCATTTTAACATGTAGTATATCTTTGTAAACGTAATGTTCATAAATTAAATGAATTATCCTATCGGGTTCTTGTTTATATCTATACCGACAAACGCAGCATTGTGATATTAAGCTACCTAACAGGTTGGACAGATATGCGTATGTTTTAAGTTTGCGACTGATATGTTTACCTCCTATTCCTGACGAGTTAGGACTAATACTTGTTATATGTGTATTGTACGTATACGTCTGGTCGGTTGTATTATGTTTCGCGTAACCCGATCCGGCCACGTTCACCATAACCTTGTACTCTCCATTAGGTCCTAATCCAGTGTTGCACGAGATCGACGAAGCGGTTGCCGTAGTAACCACACAGTCCACTCCTCCTATAGTGACAGTGTTCCTAGATCCATCGTTGAAGCCTGTACCAGTTATTGTAATTGTCGTGTTCGGTGGTCCTAGAATAATGAAGATTAAAAATGAAATACTGAATTCATCAAATGTTCGAAACGAAAGTATAACGGTGAAAAGAAATACTCCGTATTTCTGCTACACTAAACTATGAGTATAGTAAACTCTTTTGCAACCAAAACAATTAGTGTAATAAAATGAACAGCTACAATAAAACCTGCAATAAAGTACATTGAGAGTAAACAAGGTGTTCCGAAGGGTAATTGTCTTCTGCTTTATCGACGACAGTCACCATGTAAACCTAGGTCAAATATATGCCCTTGTTCTAGTCGACCACTGGCACATACATCAATTCAATGCCTAATGACAGATTAAACTGTGTCGTTTTTGGAACTTGAGACGCTGATTTCTGAATACAATGATTGTAAAATATTGTCACTTGTGTGTAAAGAACATATTTTGCAGTTGTTGGTACACTAGGAGTATACTTGTAGACATTAGTGTATTCATTTTAAGGTACGAGGATTTTGCCCTAGGTAAGAAGATCAATCCGTATTCTGCAGCATGACCACATTAATCGCCTTGTGCGATCTTGAATTCGGATAGAGTTACATTTTTTCAGAAAAGTGCATTAACAACTATGTTTTCTGAGAGATGGTATGTTTGGTTCTATAGCAATATCAGGATTTAAACACGAATACGAACAAATATTAAGGATAGGTATATAAAGTATGAACGATTACATTTTATACGTTGGATCTCAACTTCCAAACAGTGTGACACCAATCCTGATGATATCTATAGTGAGGTTGTCTTCATCAGGCTTTGATCGATCGACTTTATCAGACAAATATAACACATGATTAAACCGTACCTGTTGTCGGCCATGATTGATTCACGATTGGCGTTGAACTCTCCAAATACTCAAATGAACAGTCACCGGTACATTTTGTTGGAACGCCACTGTTTATTACCGTCACCTGTTCAACATCATCAAACATTTCATAAACATAAGGTTCCACTATAAGTATATCAGTACAGATACACCAACTAATGAAGATGTAAACTAGGCATTACAGGGTTGGCGGTGAAACAAAAATTGTCTCAGAAAGTGCTCTAAAATGTATTTGTTTATTACAACATGCATTTGTGTTGTACTTGTCAATTAAATTAACATAACTATACAGGTTTCTAGTTGAATTGCATGTAAACACTTAAACTATTAGACAAACTTAACGATTTAATCTGACAATTCCTGTCTAATTGCACACGTCATAGTATTGTGAGTGTATTAATCTGTTGTTGTTTACAACTAACTACTGCTGTAGTACGCCGTTTTACCTGCTGTTTCGCATGTGGAGTCCTCAAGTGTTCACCGGGTATAGGGTCCATAAGTAAATGGCCATCGACCAGACTGACTGCCGTGACGTTAATGTTCCTCCCAGTGACAAAAGTGTCGTTGATCTACAACAGGCAACATATTTAGTCGTACAATATGTAATTTGAGCACGATAGCAGTGATGTTAATGTGCATTGTAACACAATTCAACAAGAATTCAGTAGGATATCCCGAATTTTAAATCACAAAAACGTTTATATGTTTTCCTGTTCGTATAAATTTGATATTGCGTTTGTTCTGAAAGATGAATCTACGTAGATAAATGTTTAAGTCTGTGGTATCATATAATCCATAGAACTAAGGAAAATCGGCCTTCGATCAGGTATTATCAAACTTTTTTATTTATGCTATGATTTTCTGCCAATACCATGTGTTTATTAAAACAAAAATTAATGGACCTTCTAACAAAGCGATGATTTTATATAAAAAAAACACACTAGGTGTTCAAAATAGAAGTATTCTTATTCAACCAAGCATCAACTTTCTGTTAAGATATTAAAGATGTTTTAGTGTCCTATGTTAGTACTGGTCTAATACCATTTCCAAACACCTGGCACTTGTTATTACTTTAAATGGAACTTTGGAACTCTCGGAACTTACATTTGATAAGTACCTTTAAAGAGTGTGAAAGATACATTTCCAATTCGAGGGTGATTATTTTGGTTGTCTAGCGCAAGGCTCTGTCGAGAGTTGGATAACTAAATAGTCACCCAGTGGGTTGGAATGTTCTTTGTAACACTCTCGAGCGGGGACATGATTGTTCTCCGTTTAGTCCAATTCTATTGTTAGATATAATACTTTTATGTATTTGTAACCTGTTTTTATCATGTTTTGCACAACATGTCGCCCGTCGAAATCTTATTTTGACGTCATATCCTGTTTCCATGATATCTTGGTATTGTTTCTTTTCACGTGTTTTTTACATACGCTATGTGGGTGACAGAAAAGTAATGAACACATACAACGGGATAAATCTCTGTGAACAATTAGGGATAAGCATTATTCACAGATTGTATACACTTAGCGCTATATTAGTGAAGTTTTCATATATTCATTAATTGGGAAAATGTCATATTTTCTAGTTTTTAATGTTGGTTGTGTTTTACAGACAGGAAAAGCATGCGTTTTACTTTAATCAATCAAATAACCAAATTAGCAGTTTTTGTATATTTTGTTTATTTTGTTTTTGCCGAGGTCATTCGAGGATATTAAGATCATCATCCAAAGAATGTCTGTAATCTTACTTTCATTTTATCAGTGTTTTCGACTAACGTTAACACCTGTCGGTTCCTCATAATTGATGTACATTTTCATACGCACAGTTACAGAAATCGTACTGTAAGATGACTCACCTGGAACAGTTCCAGATCTCCAGGATTTGTATAAAACTCCACATTGATATCGAAATGAAACAAACGGTTGCCTATCCGTTGAACGTGAGCATCAATAGGAATTTCCTCAAATCTGGACCCGAAATCTTCGTCGCTAATGTTGACCGGTATACCTTTAAGTGTAAACAATGATACTTTCAGAATCAAAATAAGTATTAATCATGTCGTCTTGACTATTTCTCTTTAATCGATTCATCGAACAGGTTACTAATTTTTGATATCTACAATGCCATCACGGAGACAGGAATGCCTATCACAATATTATATAACAGACGATTCTAACACTAATTTCTACCTATTAACCGAATACTGATCTGGATAATATATAAGAATCGATCAAATACAAACTTATCATTAAAGTTTGCTTTACATATGTCCATGTCTTTTATTAAAAATATGATATGACATGTTGCATGGAAACATTTCTGAAACATATTCTCTATCATATATTGACTATCATTGAAGGTAGTTAATTGTATTGAAGTGTGCTTAAAGCAGAGGTAGACAGAGACATCTCGCCCCCATTCCTTTTAACAGGCTTTTATATTTTGCGATATGCACAAATACTACAAAAGGAAGCGCCATTCCAACAAATATTTAGGAGATTCAAAATGCCAAATGAATATTCCATTTGAAAGGTACCAATACATCTCTGTATTAAAATATAATTTGGAGTCTTTGTTACAACGGATAATTAATGTTTCAACTAGTATCTCATTTACATGTTAACTGTGTTAAAATTAATTCTGGCTTCAAGAATACGGTCAACCTCGGGAACTGATAGCCCACCAGCAAGAGTACCTCGTGATATTTTATAATCGCTATAAATTCGAAATAAGAAAGAGGTGGTTGCATGCCCGGTATATAATAAGATGCGAGATTTATTTGTTTAGTATTCATAAGAAATACTAATTTGTTTTGAACAAAACAGTAATTGAAAACATGTTTTGCGAGCTTTCGAAAACGGCTGATTCCTTGAAAAACAAGTCACTAAGATGCAATATGCAGAGTAAACTTGTTCAGAACAAACTTAGCATGTATCGGTATATCATTCACATACCGTGAAAGTCGAAGAAGCCTTTTACTTGTAAATGATGTAACACGTTCATTTTCCACTTAACCATATATAGCAACCAAATATTGCCTATATCAACAATATCAAACAAAAATATATTGATTTTTCCTCATCGGCTACATACCATAGATAGTCTTTCCTAAAAGAGTGAGATCAAATGTTCCGCTGATTGGTTCAGACGCGCGCTCAAGTCTCGTTACTGTCACGTCTGCTCCTGTAGGCCTCTTTGGAATTAAATTTATTTATTAAAATTAAATTTATTTATATATCATTTAGAAGCAAACTGAACATTATCAATAAATTAGGTTTATTTCATTCCGTGATGTTTTATTTCTTCCATGTTATGATTAATAAAATCTGTAAACTGTGTCATTGTTTCTTTTTCTTTTTTTATTGAATGGAATATAAAGTCCTAAGAAGACATAATACTTTTTACTCTATAATACTGAAGCTATCAATTATTCCTGAAAACGAAAATATATCTTAACGGTATGACCAGTACATAATAAAAGATATCATAACGTGTTACAATTCAGTGAAAAAACAATAGGAAAGTGTACAACTGATGAAAGGTTCCACCAAACATTCCTTCAACTTAATTACATTTGTCTATGTGCGATTCAGATACATATGATCAATTCAAAACTCATAAACTATATTTTTATATTATTTGTTTAATGCCGCAGAGGACTCGAAAAAAATAGCTGAACTAAAGAGAGTTATTTAAAGAGCGCTATATTGGTGTTCTGATGACTGTAATATTCCTTCTCTAGTCTTTATCAACCCTTTGATCCAGATGGCCGTTAAAATGGTCAGCGTTGGGCATGAGCTTGTTATAAGACTGGTGGGTTAGGCACATACCTGGCTATTTTTTGTTGTAATCATAGGATAGCCGTGTCCGCCATAGGCAGCTGTAAAGGTGGCCTCGTATGTACCGTTTTTATAATCCGCCACGTCAACATCAACGATTCCGTATCCGTTCGGCATGGACGGCAAACGCAGTTCGTGGGCATTGACTTTTGAAAAATAGAATATGTATTTGTCTTAATAACAAACAGAAATTGCTTCTTCTAATAATACAATGTTAGCATTACACACACTAGTAAGCTGTGTAATAATAATTGCTTATAGCAATTTACATTAGTCAGACCTATGACACAGGATTATCTAAAACACGATCGGTCTACACAATCACTCCTGGTTCCTCAACGTTGAAACCGAAAGATTGCGTTATGTTTCAATATTCATTTTTCACTGATCAAAGGATCAGTGTGTCATAGTTTGTATGATAAACGTCTTAAATCAATAGTTTAAGGACAAATGAACACAAAGCTTTATACGATAGTGAACAATTTAATTAAAAATAATTAGGAAAGCTTTGATACTTCAATAAATTATCAAATCAAATTATAATATTGTGCCGTTTTATTTACTCTGTATGAGTTCAAGCAGACTCAAACGATATAAACAAATAAAATATTGTCTAAGACATTCAAACGAATATTTATATATGCAAGTTGCAAGTCTAACAATGTAATTATGCAAATTATTAACTCCAACAAAACTAGTGATTAAGTGAATTGCATCCTAAAGAAGAAAATTGGCGTTCAAGTTCAGGAAAAGATGTCAAATCACACACTGTAAAATCTCGATACCCGACATGTTGTCGTTATTTGAATACCAGGTTTATGGGGTATTGTTAGCTATCCTGTTATTATTTTCCAATGTCATTAACATTATCCTACTAATTTCAAAGAGGTGTAAAATCGAATTAAATGAATGTGTGATCAGTGTTTTGACTTCATTACTTACCACTATCTGATGTGGTTCGTTCGTCTCCAAAGAACAACGAATCAACGAACATATCACCATCCCCTCTAAATACATACATATGAATAATATTAACTTCCACAGCATCAACCGGTTTATTATTCCACACAAGGTCTCTCAAGTCGTGGCATCCGTAAGTCCACCTAAAAACCCGGAAAAGGGACATTATTATTATGATATGTAATACATTGTATCGCAAACGATGCTCATGTTGTTGCTTGTGGTTTGAATGCAGAAATGAAGGTTCTAGCGCGATGACAATACACAATCACGTGCGAGATATTCTCATACTTGATCAATGTATACATGGAGTTCAATCTAATCCTTTAAAACATTAAGTCGCTAAAGCGATGCATGGACCTTGACGTCGGCACCCTTAAACACAAAATGGGCCTCGCTTTCTCGGTATTTCTCAAACTGAACCGATTCATGAAGCTTAATCAAATTCCATACAGTATTTGATTCGCTTGAGCGATGACAAAGCAATCTGAATCAGGGCAGTGACACGTACCTTGATAAGTCATTGGATGGCGTGAAGAAGGTTTTCAAGTTTACCCAAGCTTTTGCAGTTCTTCCTCCAGTAAATACATTTTTTACATACATCCTCAACAGAGGTTGTATATCTCCCTTGTATGCCATACAGAACTACGGACAACAGAAACTAATATTAACTCTTTAAATAGTTTAGGAGCATTTCATTTTGCGCGTTTTATTACGATTATCAATTACCACTCCCTGGCAAAATGCTTACTATGTAATAGCATTTGGCTCAGTTGAGAAGAAACCGCGGATTCTATAATGTTTGCAAAACAATTCTTACATAACCCGATGATAAAAAGAACCTGAATGCTTATAATTAAATTCAATCAATTGTCGTAAAAATAAATCATCACAAACAATATCGATAAATTGATTGTTAATAGTCGCACGTTATAAAGTGCGCAATAATAGACAATGAAAGTAGTTCTGGGGACATGCCTTATTTTTAAATGTTCATAAAACAATGAAATATTTTTTTCGGCTAATCATATTTGAGTATTTCTTATGAAAACAAAGAATAATGAATGATATTGATATGTATTTATTCTTTATTTTTTCAGGAAAATCTATATTTATGGTACTTAAACAACTAGGTATAAAATGCATGCTTTCATTAATCCATCATGATTACCAATATATGGTAAAAGTTTTTTTAAAGAAAAGAGTGAAGAACTATAAATTGTGTTGTTCTTGTGATTTAGAATGCTGATAATATTAAACTTATAAATAAAACAAATAATAACCTGACTGCTGTCGTTTTTAAAAGTTTACATATCAGTGAAGTTAACCTCTACTTACATATGGATATCTGCTAAGCTTGACTTCTGGGGTATAGGAGTTGTGAAGGAGCATATCAGGGTTCATTACGACTCCATTTCCACAAAAAGCTTCAACCGTATTTGTCCATTCGTTTCGAAATGTATACGGTAACGAACCTTCGTCTTCAAAATCGTAACAGAGAAAGCATCGCGGTTGCTTAACTATGTAAGTCGGACATTGTGAGGTAAGCATGGTTTTGAGAGCGGCTTGCATCTAAATGTTGGAATAAATCAATAAAAACATAAACAATGATAAAAACTCATATCAGCATGAAACACAAGTTCATGAAAGGAAAGCAAGACAAATAAATTATTTATTTATTTTCTGAAGAAGCTCAAATATCTTCTAATCGAAATTTACAGGTTTTTTTCTGGAGTGTATGCAACATATTTCGTTTTCCCTGAATATGTGCTTGTCAAACATTTTCCTTTTAGCAACATTTATTGCTTTATAACGTGTATTGCTGGCTTTCACGCGAGGCTGTATATCAACAATGAGGATACTATTTGGCCTCACACTCGGTGATAATGTAATAATTGTATATATAATAAGTCTGTGTTTTTCAGCTGACAATACGATCGACTGTATTGCAAATATTTGCAATTGCAACAACTATAGTACTTTAAAATGTCTTTTGTCTTTATTCGTTCATTTGTCTTCCACATCAAACATACTGAAATGTGAAATTGTTTGTAAGAACAAAAAGCGGCGTTCACGTCTTTGTGGCAAAAACAATCAAATACAAATCACTTTAGCTAAATGGAAGATCACATAGATGTGTTTTATTACAATTCAATTCAATGAACACATAAGATAGAATAGCTAGATGAAATGACTCTATGAATTGCCACACTTCATAATTATTTTGCTTTTTTCTGAAACAATATAATTATTTAACGTAATATTACCTGCTTTTCGTTGGCATCAGTGCTAACAAGTGGACCTGGAACACCTTCCATAAATAGTCCTGCACTTTCACCATTCGGAACCCCCTCTTGTGTGGTGGTCACATCTATATTGAGATCCCCAGACACGAGTTTCACTTGAAGGTCAGGAAAGTCACCTAAAATGGATGATGACTTATATCACCATTCTGGTCTTCAGGCCAAAGCTCACATGATATTGGAATGATTGAAATTGTGCTTCAAGATACACATTTACGTAAACTATCAATACAGTTTGCTGGTGCTGTTTCCGCAGTTAACCTAAATATGCAGACTAAAAGGGTGATATGCCAAACTACAAGTATAACACTTAATTGCATATAGTTACATTTTAAAATAAGGTGCTGACTTATCATATTATCGTTTATTATACTCTTCTTATACTCTTCTTATTTTACAACAATTATGATTCTAACTAGTAAATATGAAAGCGCATTCTGGTCCCCCTATATGCCCTTTGAACGTCCGATCGGGGGAACAAGCCCCAACCGTCTTCGTGAAAATGCACTACGCATGGAGCATTCCTTTCGATGTGAAACAAGACGATTACGAACGTATGCATATTAGCAAAATCTTTACAAATAGCAATCTCTTGTATATTGCCCGCGGGCAATAGTTCTTGAGCAACGAAATAATAGTTTTGGATATGCGGGCAATGCACAAGACATTACGGTAAAGTGTTTTTTTTTAAACTTGACTGATAATATGCTAATGCATACAACTAACCTCTGTCAGAGTTGATGGTTATGATATACACATACACGCCATTTTGATCGCTTCTTGTAACTGAAATCAAGTCACCCGGGGAAAATATCGGTAGTAGGTTTAGTTCAGTTTTCATAACACTTTCACTGCAGGCATATGATAGTGTTCCTGAAAAAAGGAAGTGAAAACAGTACAAATCTACACAAACAACATATATTGATCACACTAGAGAATTTGAAACTTTGAAAGGCTTGTGTATTACGCATTGTACGGGTACATATATATAAAAATATTAGAAACGGAATACTGTTCATTAGAATTATCAATTGATAATAACGTTATATACAAAATGACAACACATATCAATGGACAGTGCCTGTTAGTTCAGTATAATTACTTTATCAATGATGAGTGCTTGTTAGTTCAGTATAATTACTATATCAATACAGATGCACGTAACACAGGCACACATACATGTGACTTGACCTTTAAAACTTAGTAATAGATACAGTATGCCACAAATGAATTTAACTGCATCGTACAGCTGTTTCGGCTTTCTATGCATCATTGGTGATGCTAGGGGTCATGAAGGTGGGAAACCAATTGCCTAAATCACTTGAGGAGAGGGCTTTTATAAGTTGTCATAACTTGTGCCCATTCCTCTTGCTTGATTTTAGAAGCAATACAATATGTTTAAACTAAACTAAACAGAGGGGCGGGTGCCAAATACATGGAAAGTATGAATTTCAAATTCAGTGACGAACTCATTTATTTCTAATTAAAAAGTTAATAAAGTATTATATTATGAACCGTGCCAGAACTCATAATAAACATATTTTACAAAACTGGTTTCACTAAACTTTCATGAAATTCATGTTTATATATCTTTCACACTGTTTGTTTGTTTTGATGATTGTACCGGCTCAATCAAGCTTGCATATCATTCAGAGTGATTGAAACAATTGAAATTGTCGTTTTTTTAACCACAAATCATTATCTTGAGGTTATAAAATTTGAAAACTTACGATACCTGTAATCATGATGTGAATGACGAGTGGGGTTGTTACTTATATATATGATATGGTTGTACAGTGGAGTATGTATTACGTGAATATTTCGCTACGGTAAGTTCAAATTCGAAACATAAAAGCAATCTTAAAGTATCATATGACCCTTTTTAATGATTGTCCACCAAACTTTTACATAAATGGTTTAAGATAATAGTCTAACGCTTAACATAACTATTGTGAATAATAGTCTGTTTACGAAAAAAAACAATGATGTTATTCACGTGTCTTGTCTCCGTGACCTAACCATTAACAATCATTTACAACAACCCATGAAAAGTATTCTTTTATTTAATGAGTTAAATAGTGATCGCTTTGTCAGTAAGTCCGTCCATTTATAATAAAATGATTGTGCACAAGACATATAATGAACCTTCGAACACATCGAGTTGATATTTAAACCAGTTATAGTTATATCAATGTGAAAACAGTTATACCTGATTTGGTTATAGTGGTCACCAGTCAAAGGTAATGAGTCAAAAATCATGAACAACGATAAAACTTGACCATATTTAAAATAATAAATCGTGTGTAGAAGTTAATCCGGACTGCTGTTTATAAACACCATGGTATTGTACCATTTCGTTTTACACATGAATATATTAGTACTCATACTAATGGGTTTAAATGATCAAAGGTCACAAACAAAAAGGAAGGAGTCGGATGATGGAGGTATTTTATAAGCAAATCATAGCTGAAATAAAGAAGCTGTACGAGGAATATTTAAGAATAAATCGTAATTGAAAATTGCAGATATCTTACATGAAATAATTGTCAAAATGAAAGAGCAGTGAAAAAGCTGAATGATAATAGCATACTGGTAAAAACAGAATACAATCCCAACCGGAAACCAGCGTCCAGAGGTTGTCCTGAATTCACAGATACCGTCACACGTTGAATCTCGCTTGTTCCTGTCTGTTCTGCCCAGTTAGAGAATTGGATGAGCTGTATTTCCTTCTTAAAGGTAGATCTCATTTTGACAGCCTGATTATCCCACTTCACTGCCTCAACTGTTTCTGATGACGATCCATTAAATGTGTGAGTAAACACCATGGCCGCTACTTTCGCGAAGTAGTTATGATATCCTTCCCGAAATATCACCTCAATAGGATAACTGCAAAACCCAATTTAATAATTAAGTGACAAATGATAGCAATTACAATGGTTGCATAGTTTGATAAATACATATACAACGAAAGTTTTACAGCTGACACAGAACACAACGCAAAATCAATAAAAACCCGAAACGTCCAGATGTCTTTTGCTATATATAGCTATTTGGATTGGTGCTAAAGATTGCGTTGTTTTATATCATATTTGAAGTTATTACGCCGAAGTGTTTTATGGTTGTTTATAATGTTGAGTCCAAAGTGACAGATATCAAAATTAGCAGCGTGTATGTCCTTTATTTACCTTGTATCACCTTATGTCTAAATGTAGCAGTGTCATTATTTAATGACATGTATTGATATAATATATATATCTAGTGTTTAATTTTTACATATATGTGCAAAGTCTGTATTTGCAAGTGCCTGTGGTACGTACATGTACATGCACTTGCTACACATTTTAATAGTGATTGAAAACCTTTTTGACTGGGTTCAAAGGTTAGCTATTTTTATAAGTTTAGCTAGTGGTCAGTAAGTGGTCAAGTGTTGTTTCACTCCTATATGTGACCGCTACCTGAGCTGACGTACTGTACCTGTATATATTGCAACTGAGCTTGATAATCATAGACCATGCTAATTGCGAGTATTTTGTAAATTAGCTAGTTATAGTATTGTATTTTACTATGTACGGAGATGTGTAATGTCGCGTATGTCGTATAACATTTTGTATATTATAAATTAATTGACTCGTTCAATTAATTGGTATTTTGAATTTAGCGCCATTTTGTATGAGAACAATGACTTTTGTCATTTGTCTTTTTTTGTAATTATTTTATGATTCTTACTTGTAGTGTCCACAAGTAGTATCCACAATATGACATTTATTGTGCGGTCTTCAGGCAATGGAAAGACGCTCTTCCCTATGAAGAGGAAGGTTTTGTACTTTTCTCTGAGAGTCCTTTTTGGCCTATTGTACGTTGAAGTAAATTGTGTAATATGTGTCGGTAGCTATTAAATCACTAGTGTATCTGTTGTACTTACAGATTTGATTACTATATATTTTATATATGTATAATCGTAAGGCTTATGTAAGCGTTATTCCGAGGTGTGTATTTTATCTGTAGTGATTACGACCGGGTTAGTCAGTATTTATGATTAGTAACGTTTTTATAGTGGAGCCCAATGAGGTTAACATTGTCGGGTGCGTTAATCCGTTCTGGTTATCGGCATGATTGCAAGTTGTACTAGTTCATGTTACGTAAATGTTTTAGGTTAGATAGGAATTTATTTATTGTTGTTATTTGTTGTTTTTACGGTCTTACGGACCAGTGAATAAACGGTTAAACGTTTGGATGTGTTTGGTACTCTTTGACAAGATGAACCCCCGGTAGCACACGGCTACTACATAAACATGAGTTTTACCTTCTATATGCTAAAAATAGATATTGTCTGACGCTTGAGTTTAGTTTTCTGTATGGTATAAATATATCCGATTTGACACATGAGTTTTACCTTCTGAATATATAATATAAGTACATCTGATCTGACAAATGAGATTTAACTTCTATATATATGCTATAAATACATCCAATCTGACAAATGAGATTAGATTGCTATTTGCTATAACTCCATCTGATCTGACAAATGAGTTTTACCTTCCGTATGCTATAAGTACATCTGATCACCTTTTATTTGGAAGTAAATGCATCCGTGTCGATATCTGGGAAGAAAATCTGGTGTAAGTTCTGCTATAGGTAGGACACTCGGCAATTAGCGTCTATAAAACAGAATAATTAATAAAATGGTGAAATGATCAAGAGTTATTTCTTTTAAAAAAAAGTTTTTATTAGAAAATTAGTATTCTGGTAGATTAAATTCATACATTCGCTACTCTTCAGGTTATTTTTAAAATTTAAACATTTAAGTTCTTTACGAAATTATAAATTTAAAAATCAAGTTATTTAATTTTATAAGATAAGAAAACGTTTTGAAATTAATAAAGCATCCAGGTGGATGAGAATAAAACTTGAGTAGGGAAAATAGCATAAGACATGCAATGTAATTGACTTGCCTTATTATCGTGGTTTCCATCTAGACCGAAATATAACTTAGCTCCATCGTCACACATCAGCATGAGCTTGTAGTCGCTTTCCCATGGTGGTATAAAATACCCCTGGAGTCTGCCTGTGAAGAGATTCATTTCAGTGAAGACGTTCGCGGTGTAGAAATCGTCAGTCCACATTGCAATATGCCCATTTGTAGACTCGTTGAACTGCAACACCTGATCAATATCCCTCTGGTTTCTATATGTACCGTTCCATAACTCAAGCAGCAATCCGCGATTTCCTTAAGATATAAAATGAAATGTTAGTAGCATCCTTAAATGTAAAACGATGTAAATATTTCCTTTGTTCATATCTCGCCCCAGTTTCACCGATTTTGAATTCGACTCATAGCCGACTTTTTTGCTGTATTGTATGTTTGCTGTTGCTTTTTTCTGTTGTTTACATATTATAAGCAAGGGATTAATAAAGAGGCTATGTTTCAGGTAACATGCAAAAACATAAGGTAGGTTGTTAGGCATTATTTTCCTTCTTGCCTTTTCCTTTTGACTCGAAGGGGGGCCAATTCAGAAAATCGCCAAAAGTAGTTATCAGACCATTTATGTTTATTTTTTTTATTAAATTTGAAGTTATTTTAAACAAACCAATATTGGATTTCAATTCGGTTTTGATACCCTTGTTGAGAGGTGTCCCAAAGACGCTTACGATTTTCGATCCCTTAGAATTGGACGTTTAAGTGCATTCGATTGAGATATTTTTGTAAGGCTCGGGTTGTACCTTACACATATATTTCTTAGTTCGTTCTTGACGACAAAACGACATTTGTAACAGAACAGAGTTACGAACCCGGATTAACTGGTTCAGGAACACTGGGATCACTCATAGTGCGACATGTTATTTGTGTCACCGTTCTCGTCAGGACCGCACAGTTAACACCTAAAATAAACACAATATTTTCAATTTCCAATATTTAAAATGATTAATTTGGCGACAATACAGAGAATTGAAGAATTGCAATGATACAAAGAATGTCTATATCATACCCCCAACTCTGACTGTAGGTTCTTCTATGGAGTGGTCGAAATAGTTCCCCGTGATAGTTATCACCGTTCCACCCTCTGCACTGCCAGATGTAGGGCTCACAGAATCAATGACTAAAATAGTAAACAAAGGATATAACAGACGTGCAACTTCCAGGATAAAATACAAACATAACAAATTAATACAATATTCCGTCTTTTCGTATTGCAGAGTTATCTTCTCTTGAGAGCAGGTATTGATTGTTACGTCATTGGTTTGTGTGAGAAAATTACGTCGTTTTCTCAAAAATTGATGACGTTACTCTCACAAACAAATGACGTAACAATCAATACCTGCTCTCAAGGGAAGATAACTCTGCAATACGCAAAGACGGAATACGAAAGCCGATTGACTTCGCTGGACAAATACGAACGCAACACACAAACAGATGATTTCACTTTTAAGATTTAGTAATAGATACAGTATGCAAAATAAATTACACTGCATCATACAGCTTTGTCGTCCTTTCAGGAGTCATTGGTGATCCTAGGGGCCGAAAAGTAGGAAATTATATTTATTTTTGGTATCATTTCTATAAAGCTATATATACACAAAAGTAAAAGTGTGTTTAAAGCACATGATACATTAACGACTATGTTTTAGAAATATAAATACAGTCGAACCTCGTTATCTCGAAGTCGACGGGATCGTTGGGAAACTTCGAGTTATCCGAGTATTCGAGTTAAGCGAGTTCCTATGGTTGGCATACAGCTTGGTAAAGTGTTTGGTCCAATATGAGGCTATATATGTCATTGATTTCTCTGACAATCAACGTATTTAAACAGTCGATAAATGACAAAAAGATAACTATAAAATTAAAAATAACTTATTCATAATCATATTCATTAATTGATTAATGTTACAATAAACACACATGCTGTCTCCGACCTCGTGCTATGCTGATAGAAATTTCAATGCGGAAATGAAAGTGCGCAAGTCTTTATACAAATCACTGTATTGGAGCGTACACGCTGGATTGCTCAGTTGATTTCGACATTCCGAAATGGGTATGAGTTAATCAGGAAACATATCCACATTTATAGACCCCAATGACACTTGACATCTCCTCAACACGACGTACTCAACAATAATTATCGTATTGTTCCTATAATCTCTCAATTAATTATCAGTGCCATACAAGCTCCTGTAAAAACATAAACCAACGAACCAGTCCTAGGTTGTGATTTTTACTGTGGAGCTTATTTACGCATGACCGCACACTGTGACCCATTTTCCGGTTAGAATGTGTCGGCAACTTTGGTGTAAATAAAGTGCTATTCAAATTGTTTACGGGCTCGCAGTAAGTACTAATTGTTGTTAATCAACATTGATGAAGTTTGTTTCTTTATTTGTACAAAGTGTTTTTACAGTCAAACACATTTTAATGCCATAAGTTTAATCGAAGTAATTATGACCGAGCGTAAGCTGCTCTATGAGAACGATGTTTACCGTAGCACGTATCAAATAATTAAAGAATATATGATAGACTTGTGAATCTTAAGAAACTTCGAGGTAGGATATATTTTTATGTAGGATTTTCGTTGTTGGGACCGATGTTTCACTTCGGAATATCCGAGTTTTTCGAGTTTTCAGACTTCGAATTATCAGAGTTTTTATTACTAAGATTAAGAAGAGTTTTGGCCGGGACCGATGAAATACTTCGAGTTAAACGGGGTCTTCGAGTTATACGAGTTCGAGATAACGAGGTTCGACTGTATATACATATATGATTCATTCATATAAATGGAATTCAATTGCAATTAAACGCTGACATTTTCACCAATACATGTAATATTCTTTAATGAATGAAATATTTTGTAAATATAAACTTTAAGTAACAAACAGCAACAAGAAGTTATTTGAGTGTAAATTCAGCAACAGGTAGTTTTCCGTGTTTAATAATTGCCTAAGAAAACGACAGCCTTGTTCCGAAAAATGATCATTTAAAAAAACAAAAAATATCTTACCCAATCTCAAAGGTAATTTCGATGAGGAAATAAATAATAGCAGACAGATACTTACCTGCGTAGCTCTGAAACATATACATCTGTCCATTTCCACTCATTCTGTATGTGCTTGTCGTAGATCTGTAATCATTCAAAGGATATATTTTGTACAATTTGTGGAATAGGAATTATCATCTTACACATACTGAATATAATGCTCATAATAATTTGATTAGTTGTTTTCTGTTTAGAGGTGTTATGTTGTATATTTGGATTATTTATGTTGATTTGTTAGAATTTATATTTATACATACATTCATATTCATGTAAATAATTGTACCAACAATTGTATTGTTATAATTTTCACTGCTATGAAGCGTTGTTACGAAAAAGGAATTTTAAGAATTATGATTACTCGAGATTTGAATGTTTGATATCGTGATTTCATGGAGAAAACAGACCCATTGCAAGGATCAAACTCTCGAACTTAGCATTGCCTACACGTGACCAGTGTTGCCATCAAGGAAATACACGAACAAAAACATAAAATGAGCGCCCAATTAATTAATCTTAAAGTTACTATTAGTCAGAAAAAAACTCAATTTGGCTACCTTATGGTTTGGTCTAACTAAATGATGAGTTGGTTTTCTTTTCAAATTACTTTCTGAGCGTTTCAATATTTGTATATAAGAGAATGTTCTTACGCGCCAAACTGCCCGGATATCAAGACGCTACCGTTGATAATTCCTGCAAAAATAAAAAACATCTTACTGAGAAGGTTATATATACTCAAATATTCATTCTCACGCCAAACTTCATAGATTAACAATCTGCAAATGTGAAGAAATGAGAAACGTAAGCGGTACAAACCTAGCTCATCGTCCTTCCCTAATTAGATATGACGATTCAACGGTATACCAACTAAAGCAAAAACTGTTCATCGTATCGTAGTGTGTTGATGAACAATTCTGCTTCCCAAAGTAGATCTAGATTCCTTTCTCTGTATTTAATAAGAAGTCTTTTATGTTTTCCAATATTTACAATCATTTTCATGCGCCTTTCTGCTTAAGAGATACTACTGAATTTCATCGACTTAGGGATGTGCTGATCTGAATTCTAATAAAATAAATGCCTCAGCCAAACTCAAAGAACATCCGAACATAATTCATACATGCCATTTCAGGTGTTCTGCGTTGGTATTCTTTTAAAAGAACATTGGATAACAGAAACCGCGCCGTTACCCAATGTAGCATATGATTTTGCTTGGCTATGAACAGATGAGTTAAATCAGCATACATTACCTGTTCTGGAACATGTTTCGGATAGCTTGCATGTTAAACAGCCGTTATCGCCAGTCTCGGGGGTGAGTTCAAGGAGATAGCTTAGTTGAGGGAAATAAAACGATATTTTTAACAAAAGGTTAACTTTATTATTTACTTGTTCCATAAAGATAAATAATACAGTATTAAGTGATAATTCATTTCATTGGATTTGCCTTTCTCGTGAAAGAATACACTGAAATATTTCATTTACGATGCTGTTAAAAATGCCGTTAAAGGTTCAATTTGCAATTGAAAGTATTCTTAATCTGATATAATATCCATGTCTCTCATAACTTATCAATGACTTAGTATAAGCAAATTATTACTCTGAGATACACAATGCCGTTGTGAAGTTTGCTGAAAACTCATTTTATGTTATTTTGTAATCATGTTTTCATGAAAATGTGTCAATAAGTCATGTATTTTTTTAAGAAACATTCGCCACTGACATACATTTTTTTCTTGCAGTTAAATATAATCTAACAATAATGCGACCATGTTAAGTTTTTGATTAAATCAGAATATGAACATAAAAAGTCACGTGACAAAACAAAGCTCTAGAACAAGATACTTCAAACAATAGTACTTTGATAGTGGTATTGATTCCGGAAGGTGGGACATTTCAATTAAAAGCTTAACGAGAAAAACGGCGTTAAATGCAGTTTATTTATAATGAATCGGTGAGGTGAATGAAATATAAACAAAAAAATAACAATATTTTCTAAATTGTAATAATAGTTTAAAGAGGCATATAAAGAATACAATATAACGTATATATACATTATCTGACTAGGATGTATTGCTATATATGTTATAAGTGACATTTGATTGTATGATTGTTAATAGTACTAAATAATCTGCTGAACAAAGATACTCACAATTCATCATTCTCATCCTTCATATCACAGGGATACCCGCCAACTGTTACCCTGACAACAAAAGATAAATCTATAACGTGTCGGTTATTGGGTTAACGTCGTTGATGCCGAGAGGGGCACAGACAGACACAGACAGACACAGACAGACAGACAGACAGAGGGACGGATGGAGATCAGAAAAACTGAGCCACTGCAAGAGAAATAGTTGCAATCCCATAAATCAAACACACAAAAGTACACGTGTGTAAAATGTCAGCTTAGTGTGTTACTGAAATCGACTCAAAGCTCATTTGTTGATATAGTAATACTAGCAATTACGTTAATGTATGTCGTTCACAACATTCTTCAGGGAACATAATAAAATATGTAACAACATTCATTTTTTATTCAAGCTTTCGGGCTTCGTCCTTCATCAGTGAAGAAACACCTATTTGAAATATATACTAGTACCGAAATCATACATCTTATATCAAACTTACGTGTGTTAACCTACTTAAATTTCGATTTCAAAATTCTCGTCCGTTTGTAGCAGCTATGTATGTCTGCTACAAAGCCTACTGCTTCTTCCGAAAGTGGATATACATCTCCAGCTCGTTTGTCCTGGTAATATATGCCTTATAACTTACCTTCTGATATCCACCTCTCGTTCGTTTACACTGGTCACATCTTTCCCTTAGCTTACCTTCTGATGTCCACCTCTCGTTCGTTTACACTGGTCACATCTTCCCCTTAGCTTACCTTCTAATGTCCACTTCTCGTTTGTTTGTACTGGTAATATATGCCTTATAACTTACCTTCTGATATTCACCTGTCGTCCGTGTACACTGGTCACATCTGTCCCTTAGCTTACCTTCTGATATCCACCTGTCGTCCGTTTACACTGGTCACATCTTTCCCTTAGCCCACCTTCTGATGTCCACCTCTCGTTCGTTTACACTGGTCACATCTGTCCCTTAGCTTACCTTCTGATGTCCACTTCTCGTTCGTTTGTACTGGTAATACATGCCTTATAACTTACCTTCTGATATCCACCTGTCGTCCGTTTGTACTGGTAATATATGCCTTATAACTTACCTTCTGATGTCCACCTGTCGTCCGTTTACACTGGTCACATCTGTCCCTTAAGTTGCATTCGGATATCCACCTGGCGTCCGTTTGTACTGGTAATATATGCCTTATAACTTACCTTCTGATGTCCACCTGTCGTCCGTTTACACTGGTAACATTTGTCCCTTAGCTTACCTTCTGATGTCCACTTCTCGTCCGTTTGTACTGGTAATATATGCCTTATAACTTACCTTCTGATATCCACCTCTCGTTCGTGTGTACTGCTTATATCTGAAAAATAGCTTACCTTCTAATATCCTCCTCTCGTTCGTTTGTACTGGTAATACATGCCTTATAACTTACCTTCTGATGTCCTCCTGTCGTCCGTTTACACTGGTAACATTTGTCCCTTAGCTTACCTTCTGATATCTCCCTTTCGCCCGTTTTTACTGCTCAGATACTAGCATGCACCAATAGCTTCCCTTCCGATAAACTGGACAAGTCTGACAAATTGCCATCCTTCTGATATCCACCTCTCGTTCTTTTGTAATGGTCATAAATGCCCAATAGCTTACCCCTTAGCTTACCTTCTGATATCTACCTTTCGCCCGTTTGTACTCTTCTAATGTCCACTTCTCGTTTGTTTGTACTGGTAATATAGGCCTTATAACTTACCTTCTGATCTTCCCCTGTCGTTCGTTTGTACTGGTAATATATGTCTTATAACTTACCTTCTGATATTCACCTGTCGTCCGTTTACTCTGGTCACATCTGTCCCTTAGCTTTCCTTCTGATAACCCCCCCTCGTCCGTTTGTACTGGTCATATATAGCTTACCTTTACACTGGTCACATCTTCCCCTTAGCTTACCTTCTAATGTCCACTTCTCGTTTGTTTTTACTGGTAATATATGCCTGATAACTTACCTTCTGATATTCAACTGTCGTTCGTTTGTACTGGTCACTGATATCCACCTCTCGTTCGTGTGTACTGGTCATATATGCCCAATAGGTTACCTTTTGATATCCACCTCTCGTTCGTGTGTACTGCTTATATCTGCCAAATAGCTTACCTTCTAATATCCCCCTCTCGTTCGTTTGTACTGGTCATATATGCCCAATAGGTTACCTTTTGATATCCTCCTCTCGTTCGTTTCTACTGGTCTATCTGCCCAATAGGCTACCTTCTGATATCCACCTCTCGTTCTTTTGTACTGGGCATAAATGCCCAATAGCTTACCTTCTGCTATCCACCTCTCGTTCGTTTGTAGTGGTCATATATGCCCAATAGGTTACCTTTTGATATCCTCCTCTCGTTCGTTTGTACTGGTAATAACTGCCCAATAGCTTACCTTCTGATATTGGACAAGTCTGACAAATTGCCATCCTTCTGATATCCACCTCTCGTTCTTTTGTAATGGTCATAAATGCCCAATAGCTTACCCCTTAGCTTACCTTCTGATATCTCCCTTTCGCCCGTTTTTACTGCTCAGATACTAGCATGCACCAATAGCTTCCCTTCCGACAAACTGGACAAGTCTGACAAATTGCCAACCTTCTGATATCCTCCTCTCTTCGTTTGTACTGCTTATATCTGTCTCATAACAAACCTTCTGATATCCACCTCTCGTTCTTTTGTACTGGGCATAAATGCCCAATAGCTTACCCCTTAGCTTACCTTCTGATATCTACCTTTCGCCCGTTTGTACTGTGTCGTCCGTTTACACTGGTCACATCTTTCCCTTAGCTTACCTTCTGATATCTCCCTTTCGCCCGTTTTTACTGCTCAGATACTAGCATGCACCAATAGCTTCCCTTCCGACAAACTGGACAAGTCTGACAAATTGCCATCCTTCTGATATCCACCTCTCGTTCGTGTGTACTGCTTATATCTGAAAAATAGCTTACCTTCTAATATCCACCTCTCGTTCGTTTGTACTGATCATATCTGCCCAATAGCTTACCTTCAGATATCCACCTCTCGTTCGTTTGTAGTGGTCATATATGCCCAATAGGTTACCTTTTGATATCCACCTCTCGTTCGTGTGTACTGGTCATATATGCCCAATAGATTACCTTTTGATATCCACCTCTCGTTCGTCTGTACTGGTCATATCTGCCCAATAGCTTACCTTCTGTACATCTCCAGCTCCTTTGTCCTGGTAATATATGCCTTATAAATTACCTTCTGATATTAACCTGTCGTTCGTTTGTACTGGTAATAACGTCCCAATAGCTTACCTTCTGATATCCACCTCTCGTTCTTTTGTACTGGTCATAACTGCCCAATAGCTTACCTTCTGATATCCACCTCTCGTTCGTTTGTACTGGTCATATCTGCCCAATAGCTTACCTTCTGATATCCACCTCTCGTTCGTTTGTACTGGTCATATCTGCCCAATAGCTTACCTTCTGATATCCACCTCTCGTTCGTTTGTACTGGTCATATCTGCCCAATAGCTTACCTTCTGATATCCACCTCTCGTTCGTTTGTACTGGTCATATCTGCTCCAAAGCTGCTCGTGTATATCCTTCCACATATGGTCAACAGCGTACCTTCAAACAGAGTGTGTCAGATTTATCAAATTATTAACTCATACCACGTTATATGGATCGGTTTATTACTTATATATAGTATAATCATAGAAAACAGATGATATTCATTTTCAGCTCAGTGTAATATGATAATAAATATATTAGTCATAGCATAGATGAAAAATTATTTAAATGTATGATTTGCTATTGCTAGGTACGCACGATAATACAATGTGGAAACAAAAACTTGTTTTGGATAACCGTCCTTTTTCTATTGCCATTTGTTATTTACAGTTACATACTTTTATAATACATGATATATGAAACATATCCACAGTAGGTAAGTAGGAGATACCATACATCTGACAGTTAATATTGCACGAGCTCTCCAACCCACAAACAAAACAGGTTAGAATCAGTGGTTTGTGTTATATCATGTGTCTCATGGTTACTTAACAAGGACTGTTTTAACTGTCAATCAAGCTGTTACCGCAATCTTCATTCGTGTATTCCATATGTGAACAGCTCGCGTGAGTATTGAAATAAAAAGTAAACTTGATTAAAAATAGTAATGATCAGTACAAGGTAAATAAAAATTATTTAAAATAAATTAATAAATAAACCCTGAACGTCTTTACTTACCTGGTGGGCCGGAAGTTGGAGTCAGTGTTTTTATCTCTGGAGTGTTCCATTTATATGGCTATAAAACAATAGCATGATTCCTAAATACTATTTGACATATATTGGGTCTTTAGTGAGATTTCATTTAATATAAATACATAAATTAATTTTTAATATCCTAAACGATAAATAATTTTAATTTTAAAAAAGAATGAGAGGATTTCAAAATTAATTTCCATTCATCTCTGTCTGACATTAAAGATGTAAATCTAAAAATTATTTTAAATAAAAATCTACACAAAACTACGTAATTATCACGTCAAAATAAAACAAACTATATAATTGAAAGCACAATTGTATTATAAACAGTCCCTTGTGTCAACAGATATAGTTTAATTACAACGACCTGTTATGTTTAAATCGTTAACTATATTGATTACGTATGAGTCGATAATCATATAGGGAGTACAGGTAGAACTATGTTACAAGTATACTTAGTATGTAAGCGTTTAAAAATTGGAGATTGTTGATAGCAGACAGTATTACGGACAACCAGTCTCAGTACGCGTTTCTATACTCTCCTCGATACACCTGATCATCAATAAAAAGGGGGGCATACCTACACATACAATGTAACCAGCCAGCATGAATATTCCGAGGAAACGTCAAGGCGTCAGAGAATTTGTGTCGGACCATATATTTAAAATGTATGTGCATAACGTTTAATATCAATATGTAACCTTTTTACTATACGCTTACGTGCGTCTGAGCTGTATACAATCTGTGGAAAAATCGATATGTCGCGTCTTAGATATTCTATTAAATGTAATCAATAACATATATATATAATAAAAAGACCTACCCTATAATTACACCATCTACAGGTCACCAACTCTCCTCCGTCCACCGATACGTACGGTTTGTACAGGGCATACGGCATGCCAGGTCTGAAGGGGAATGGTAAATCATGATAAAATATTTTACATTTCTATGGTGACCTAAATCTGAGGCATTCTACAATACAAATGTATCATACACGAAAAAATAAACAATAATAGATAGCAGTTAAAACCACGCATACTTAGAAACATAAACAAAATAATTATTGAAAATTGAAAATTATTGACAAGAAAATTAAAAAAAATATTACCAAGTGGTTTACACATTGATTCGTAACAGCTAGTTGGAGACTAATGGTTATCACTAAGGATTTATAAGTATGGTTGCTAGGTAACAAACTACTTCAAATACATGAACAAGGGAGATAATCTATGCACTGTCCAATAAGCATACATCAGATGCGTGTATTGTAGTCTGTATCATACATATAAACAATACATGGAGTAAATAACTGACAGGATATTCATGTTACACATAAAAACAAATGGGCAGTTATATTTTTATCCATACTATGCAGTTCCGGATTTACCTCATCTTCGAAAAGCAGTTGTTAAGCTCACTAACGTAATTTGCAGCACGTCATGGCAAAACAAATTGCACAAAATTAGCTATTTGATTGGTTGCAAGTATAAAAAACGGACCATTTGCTAGGTTGATATATGTCCTTTGACGATTACTTAAGTATGACATCCTGTTTAAGACCGGTCAATTTTACCGCTATGCTGCAGCGCAACTCTTTTGCTGTGCATTAAACGACCAAATACAGAGCATGCACAGCAAGACATTTTTCAGAGGTGCAGATAATGTTACTTAACGTAACTGATGGAATTCTGAGGATGGACGTAAATAGGAAATGACATTTCATCTATCTTTTATCTGTTAACCCTAACGCAGTGTACGGTATGTGATTATTCAGTAACAACTGTCGTTATTACAGATACTGGACATTTTAATATGACAGCTTTTATGGGGGTGGGGGTG